CGGCAACTCCTCCGAGGCCACAAGGAGGGCTTGCTTCCCTTGAGGCGCTTCCCCGCGAACACCGCCACCCTGGCTTGGACCCTTGGACTTGGACCCTGGCAATGAAGTCAGTGGCACAAAAGTGGACAGAGCCAAAAAGCAGGTTCTCGCCAAACCTTGACCCCTCGTTTAATGCTGCCCACGGCCGAGTAGCGCAGCCCAAGCCCGTACCTATCCATCATCCCCATCTCCATCTCCATCTCCATTTCCATCTCCACATCCACACCCAACGTCCAACATCCAGGAACGTGCTGCTGTATGTGGCTTTAGCAGTGCGCCTGCGAGTGCCGTCTTGGTCATTGGTCGGGACGCTACTCCGGAACTGGCATCACGCCTTGTGCCTTGACGAACCTTGGCGGACAGGTTGCTCCGGAATACTTGGTAGCCACGCCGGCACTCGGGGCTCGTGTGTTGTGGGCAAAGCTTGCATTCGGATGGATTCCATAGGCGTGCTCCGTAATAATATCCATGGCTGTGCGCGCACAAGTTTGTACGAGTAACTTAGTAGCAGGTAGAACTACCAGGTACTAGGTAGGTACTCGTACTCGTGGAACTGCGGTAAAGCACAAGTCAGAAATCATCATTGAAGGGCTGCATCAATATTTTGTGTGCATTAGCGGATGCGCATGACTGCGTTGCTGCATCTGAGTACGAAATTGAAATTGCAGGGCTGCCAACCGCTATCGCGACCCTTATCCAGCTGCCTGCTGCAAGGGCGCCGATCTTGCCTGGCTTGGGAATGACTGCTTCGCGCACTCTATTCGAGATGACGACATGCTCCTGAGCAAACCTGCTTGCCTTGCTCTGCTTGCTCTGCTTGCAGTCGAAATACTACCGAGAAACGTCTGTCAAAATATCAACTCCCCGCATCGTGTGACGTAGGCAGCTTGTTTGTTGTTTCCAGTCGTTGCTTCGTCTTCTCTCCAGCTCTCCTGCAGCTTCAATTGCGCTGCGTCAAAGGTCAAACACCGACATCAAGCTCGGATGGAGCTGAACCGGCTCCGTCATATCATGTCACGCCACCAATTGCAAGATCCACGGCCGATGGAGAGCATCGTGTCTGATCCTCCGCATCGCCGGGGGTCTCCCGACGTGCCTCAGCCCTTCAATGGGCCGTGTTCGAGTCCTCAATTCGTGCGCCAAGATGCTCACCAGCCCTCGCCGCGAGCTGAGCTAATGCCGAGTCCCAGGTGCTCTTCATAACTCCTTCATAGACGCCTCGCCGTGATCAGACATTCTGCAACATTCACGAGTACATGGATCGACACAGCTCGTCTCGCGCTCGGCGTTAATCCTCTCAACGTTCGACCTCGGCCCACGCTCAGCTGGCAATGTACAGTACGAGTACATACCCCAGTTGCCCTGGTGGCAAAGTGTTCGCAGCTCTAGTTCCATCCGGCTCCGATCAACATTCAAAAACGCGCGGCCCAAGAGTTGCGATTCGCAGCGTGTAGGCATGAACGGTGGATCGTGGTCATGTTCGCGGACGGATGAGGGCATGAGCATCTCAGGAACGGATGGGATGGACGTCTAAGGATTCGAGCCCAGGCCCAGCCAGGCCCAGGCCCAGGCTCTGAGGCGAGGCGCTGTGAGGAGAGCTTTGGGGCGCTACCCAATGGATCTTTTCCCGCCACGATGGCTGCATGGCCAGCTCGACTCGTCGCTACCGTCACACTATATCCGCCCTGTAAATGATAACGTCGGCAAAATCTCTTCATCCCTACTTTCCGACTGTTTATCCCTACTCCATGCGCCTAGTGCCAAAATCCTCGATGCATGGCTTTTATTGGATAATCGCCTGCTGCGCCTTACGACTGCTATCCTGGGATAACGGGTGCACAAGCTGCAAATCGACGGATATACAGTACATGCCTCCTCGTACGTGCATATCAGGATGAATAACGGCCGCGGCTTTGGCCTCCCTGGGTTGCTGTGCTCGGCCTCCAGAAATTGCGCCAGAGGGGGCTCAATGGCATCTTGCGGAATCAAGAGGGGATTCCCCGCCATTTGATCTGGCCCTTCTGCTGGCATTACCTAGGGGAGATGGGGGGAATGGGATCGGCCGCCGCACGCGCAGTCTTTGGTCAGCCCTCGAGTGAGCCGCCCGCCAGAGTTGCCCAGAGAGCTCTCACCACGTGGTTGAGGCCGACGTTTTGCTGCTTGCCACGTATTCGTGGTAGGGCTGGATCCTTGCTCTTTGCCGTTGGGTCTAATGCAAAAGACCATGGCCTTGTTTCTTCAACGAAACGCTTTCAGCTCCTCAAGGACGTCACAGCCGGTTCATCCTAGCTTATCTGATACGGCGTAGCGTCGGGCAATACGGAGTAGGTAGAAATGGATGGAACGATCAAATGGGTGTTTTGCTTCAAGGCTTAGCAAAGATTGCTCCCACTGCCTCCCACACAGCCAAGTCCAGTAGATAAGGCAAAACACACTCGTATACCCCCTGTAGAAAGTCTTGTACGGCCTGGGGGGGAATAATTTCCCTTTCAATGCCATGCCGTACTACTACTCGAGGCTGTGCTTCGCTCTCCCCTATTAATAGGTAGTGTCTACATACAGAGCAAGGTTATGCACAACAACAACACCACCACCACCACCACCAGGCAATTTCAGGGAGTGTGCAGCCACACCAATGGCATTACAACCCTGCAACCTTGACGTCCCAACAAGGAGAATGTAACGAACATGACTTTTACTATAGCATACTAGTCTAGCAAGTCTAGGTTGGCTTTTGCATGTTTGACTATCAATCAGCCTTACCCGAGATTCTTCTGACTCAGTAAAGCTACGATTTCTATTTCATTGGCCTACAGGATGCCAACGGCTTCAAGGATTTCAAACCCATGGAAATTTGCCACGACCACTGCCTCCGCAAGAAAAGGCAAAGCCGATGGCAATTAGAAAACAGGCCATTGCAGGTATTGGACAAGAACAAATTCCAATTTGACCTTGTCAAATGGATAACATCTATCCGTAATTCTAAATTCCATACCACTCCTAGATGCCAAGGTAACCTGTAACTCACGGAATTGAACTACACCAAAAGTTCAAGGCCGAGAATACCCAGCTATGGAGGGGCATCAAGACAACATCTCGGTCGTATTCTCGCCATCACGTGAAATCAACGGTCTTGAATCACCTCCGTTTGTCCGAATCTTGTCCTCGTACAAAAAGAAAAAGAAAAGAAAAAAAGAAAAAAATTGTGACATTTCTGTTGAGGCCGCCGAAATCAGCTCAGCTGCCGCACATCTTCTCCGGGATTGGCTCTCTTGCCAAGGCCGGCCACCCAACCACAGCATTTCCTATACGGAACAACTGCTGTAGATGGCCGCCCTGTCTCCGCCTTTCGCTGATCGGGCTTTCGGTGGAGTGGCAAAGCAAGCACTCACGGCCACTAAGAGCTCACAATGAGGGCAAAGAAAAAATGATGGGATGTGGAGCCGGAAGGGTTGCAAGTCTACTCCGTACAAGCCCGTTGCTGCAAACCATTCTTCTTACACCGCCTTTGAATTCTACAGCACGGCGGTACAAGGCACAGGCAGATCTGGATGTGTGGGTGGTGTCACCGTGGTTGTGTGGCTCCGAGTGCATTCACACATTCACACGAGCACATCCTGGAGCGGAGCTTGATAAGAGAATCGTGGTCACGCGGGGAAGGGTCCAGGGGTGCGTCCAAACTATCGCTTCTTTAGCCTTCGTTTTGAACGGCTATGATACATCGTTACGCATTCCAGAAAGAGCAAACACAATTCATATCTAGTCCTTCTTTAGAGGCAGAAACACCTCTTCGATACCCTCTTTTGTGATGATGAGCATCTGCAGAGTGTCACCGACCTCAATGTGACGCTCCACAGCACCGTCAAAGGCGTCCTTGACCAGAGTCTCAACCTGCGGCCGTGTCAAGGGGTGGCGCTCTCTCTCCTTCAGAGCATGGCCCTCGCCGCTTTCGGGGATGTACTGGTTCTTGAAGTTGACCTGGTTGTCCAGGAACGGCATGATCAAGCTGCCCGCAGCACCTCCAGCCCGGCATTGCTCTCTCTCGTAGCTTCCAACCGGGTCGTAGGAGTATACCGCACCCTTGCCCTCCTCGTCAAGGCCACCAAGCATGGCATGTGTGTAGTATGGGAAGAATCGCTTCTGGTAGAGAATAGTCGATAGGCGCTTGGCACAGGCGTTGAGCGTCATTGGCTTGCCATGTCGGTAGCGGTAAATCTTGCAGACAGTGTCCAGGCGATCACGCAGAGCCTCACCATCGGCGGCGAACCCACAGACGGACAAGACTATGGTAGCGTCTTCTTGGGTAGCCGTAGTGCCGCCAATCTTGAAGACCTTGGGGGCCATCCGGGAGTTGATGCTGTAGCCGCTGGTGTGACGGGTATCGCCGGCCATGATGGTAAAGTCGGCACCTGAGATGGCAAGCGTAGAGCCGCCATTGTCGGAGTAGCTGAGGGTATGGTTAATGCACTGCAAACAAGCAGTCGATGGAGCTGGGTAGCTTACGGATTGAAGCGGTGCTGTCGAGGCTCTCCATGGGCCGTCTTGGGTGCATCTGAGAAGGAATAGTTGGGCCCGTTCATGAGCGGGTTCTGGCTGAACATGGCGGCCATCGTTGCGGATGTTTGGTGATGATTTTCGGCAGCTTCGTCGACGAGGGAAGTGGTTGATAGCTTCGAGCGATGCCTTGACGTTGCTTCTGATGCTATATCGCAACAGATGCACGCGTCAAGTGGGAGCCTTGCTAGGCTAAGACTGGGGGGGTAGCTCGGATGACTAAGCCGCCAGATTACCTACAATCAGTGACCACCCCCTTACAAGGCGGCAAAGGATCATCATTTCGCGTTGGTCGACACCCTCGACTTGGAGGTTGCAGAAAACTATCTGCGTAGCTCTGTGGGAGCTTCAACTTTCATACCAACTAACTTTGCTGCAAGAAACCCGTGCTCTTTGCGATTGCGGCCATGACGCGCGACACTCGCGCGCGAGCGCTGGAGAAGATAGCTTCGCTCTCGGCGACGGGCCCCGCGACTTCGTTTGAGAAATCAGACCTCGACCGACTGTGCAAGGCGTGCCATTCAGGAGCAAGAGGAGGCGAACATGGCCAAGCTGGGCATAACGCAAAGCCGAATGGCTCTCTGGGAAGAGTCCCCATGGTCAGCAAACTCTCACCTCTTTGGCTTACACGTGAAGATGCCAGAAAAGCTGACTACTTAACCTTTTTTTCTTAGTCAATTCGCGAGTTTGAAGTCCTCCTCGCCTTATGCAAGACCGCGCCGAACATCCAATCCAGCCAAAGCGCCCAGAAGCTCTCTTATCGATTGATCCCTTACATACTCGACATCCATACCCAAGTCTTTGTGTCATCGCCCTTCTTTCGCAAGATCGAGCCATCCCCGACGGAGTCGTTGGCCTTCCACGTTACGGCTGCCCTGTTGTCGCTTGGAAACAACTACCACGAACTTCACGACGAAATCTCCAATGGCATCTGGCACTTCGTCAACGATTGTAACAAGGTGGCTGAAAATGTCGTGTCGCCACACGTCGGCGATCCTGAGAACCCCCATCTAGATGACGCGATCCGGACCGCGACCATTGCGCTGGCTCTCGTTGGTTTCCTTGATGCCATGTCTGCCCAGGCAGATTTCTGGAGAGTGGACGGTCGACTATTCCTTATACAAAAGATTCGCCAGCTTCTCTCAGAACCGTTCTTGGTTGCAGTTGAGACTGCCATCTCTACCATCCGTAACTCCCTTAGCCAAGACCGGGACGTGAAGGAGTGGAAGAGGCATCTGCGTCATTATGCCGCCTCGGGACGACCTCTTGGAGCAATGCTGCTGCAACGTAGTTTTATGTGGCTGGTACTGGCGAGCAGCTCCTTGATGGTTGCGGATGGAACACGCCTTCGGACCACACACATCTTGGACGTCCTCATGTCGAAAGACGGCAACCTGAACTCTGCTGAGATAGCGGCCGATACCCCCTCTATCGAGACATATACTGGTCTTGCGATAGAGCAGATGCATTACATCGAGGCGGGTGCTGACTTCGTGCGACTTGGAGCGCACTCTCAGCAACAGCTTGCCTTTGCAGTCAAATCCGCCGCCATGATCACGTATCTGAACTGTGCTCTGCTTAACGAAGAGATTGCGGATGCGGATATCCTCACCACATGGCTCCAGGAGGCACTGGAAGACCCTATGCAGATGACTGACGAAACTTTGGCATCTACTGTTCTACAGTGTCTGGCTCTGAGCTGCCGTATAGCGCCTTCGTTTTCTTCCACCGTCAGCCGCGTGCTTCCACGGTTTCTTGTCCAGACTGTGCCTCAAGGCAACACCGTTGGAGTGGCATCAAAGAGTTTAGCATATGTTTTGAGGCTGCTCTCCAAAGACGCAGTCATTAGCACTCTCTATACCTTGGGCAACGTGCTGAGCCCGGGCTCCGATGGAACGATTACTGGCTTGCAAGCTAATGGCACCGCCGGCGAAGCAAACCTGGTCCCTGTTTATGTCAACAGACACTCTACGGGGAGCGCCATTTCTCTTCAGATGAACGGTGAGGAAGAGACAGCCATAATTTACGGCAATGTTGTTCAGGCTATATGCGGCATTGCGGCAGCATGTGATGATGAAAAGATTACGGCTCTTGCACAGTCCATGCTTCTGCAGAAATTGGACAAGGTCAACGTCAGCGTCGATACCCAGGTAATAGCTGGTGCAGCTACATTGGCACTTAGTGGAGGTCAATTGGAGTTCCGCTCGCTCCTCAAATTATACTCGAGGATATGCCATATCGGCGTGGTAGAGAAAAAGGACTTTCTCTTGGGTTCGGTGAGGAGAGCTCGCGCCCACATCTCCGCTCGTTTGCGTCGTGATTCCCCCTTGTTCGACATCTACTGGGAACATTTGCTTGATAGCATTATTTCCCTAGGCGATGCTCATGCGTCTGGGCAAACCAAGGACTCGGACGTGCAGCTAGCCGCTCAAGAGATTGGGGAACTGCTGCACCCTCTTGCCGTGTTCATGGCCAGCAATGATCTTGCCTCGGAACCACTGACGAGCGACGAATCCAATGCTCTCCTTAGAGATGCATGGTTCAACATTGTTGTGCATGGCTTCATGACAACCACCGAACATGGCAAGAAGCACATCGATGAGCTTCGCATGATTGCCGTGCACTCTCCCGCCTTAGTGGCGAGCCAGCGTAGCGAGCAGGTTGAGAGCGACATCGAGCTTAATACTGTGCTGAGACGAGGACATAGCAATGAACGAGAGGCAATGCAGAAGAAGCTTCTCAGCGAGCTCATACCATCAAAGGCAGCTGATATTAAGAGCCTTAGCTACCGAAAGGTCATTTTCCTTCAAGCCGCTTACCTAGTTGAGAGTCTCCGGGCCGACGCAGGCGACTGCACAAAGGCATTGACCTACTTTTTGGAGCCTGCCATGCGAAAGGACGATGTGAGTAGCACTATGGAGGGCATTGCTGCGGCTGTCGTGGACAAGTATTTGAGAAAGACGCTCGCTGGCATTGACCCGAGCTTCTCCTCCCAATACGCCGCTACACAGCTTGTTTCCATCTTCTGTAACTGCTGCCATCGCATCGAGCGCGTCCAGCAGGCTGCATTTGCTTGCGCAGACCGTATCATCAGGGATGTCCCCTCGGCCCTGTGCCACAGAACGTCTCTCTTCGCTTTGCTAGAACTCCTTTCCCTCTTGTGGACAAGTTGTCTTGAGGCCGAGACTGATATCTACACACCACGGTCGATATTTACTTCCAAGCTTGGTGACGTGACACTCGAGCTATCCGACGACTATGATTTCCGTCGCTGGACCCTAGACATCCTTAACCGCAAGGCCAAGGCGTGGGTTACTGCGGCTATCAACCTGGCGCCGTTGGATGTGAAGGGCCTTCTCCAGACATATTTGTCGGAATTTGAAGACGATGGTGCATACGGTCATGTTTCCCTTGGCCGATCTTTTGCCCTGGAAGTTGGGTCCATCATTCCTTCAACGGATAGCAGGCTACAATCGCTCGACCGTGTCGGAGACACTGCTCTCAACACAGCGTCTGATTTGATCGCTCAGTATACTACTCGTCAAGAATACCGCTATGGCGAAACACTTCCAGATCGCGGGTCTGAGCTGATAAGTTTCATGAATTTAAACCGACGGTCGTCGTTTGTGCAGTCCACAGTGATAGAGAGTGCTAATGCGGCCACCGCTTTGGCTCATATCGAGGCACGGATTTTAAGCAAAAAGTCTACTTCTTTGAATGAGGTTCGCGAGATTCTCAGACGAGCAGCCGCCCTCTTGTGTCGCGGTGGAAAAGATGAATCAGCTGTTGCTCGCTACCTAGTGAACATTCCCTTCGCTCTGTTCACAAAGCAGTCGATCAAGCTGGGCGTCTCGCTGTGGCTTGGTGTAATGAACGAAAACCCACAGCTCGAGCCCAAACTTCTTAACTCTATTGCTCAGCAGTGGGAGCTAAGCATTTCTCGCAAGGTCGGCTTGTTCCATCCTGCTCTGAACCACCCTGACCCTTTCTTCCTCAAGGAAGAGTTCGCGCCAAGTGAGCTGGAAATGCTCGCAAAGCGACGGCAGTTGGTACATGACATTTTGTCTCCTCACGCTCGTCTGCTGCAGTTTTTCAGCAGCCACTTCAACGCCACCAGACTTGGCTGCCCCGATATCCAGAGAATCTTTATTCGCATGCTTGACTTGACTCTGGACGCCGTTAAGGACTGCGCGTCTCACCCACTGGCAAGAGAATTGCGTCTACAGATTGTCCTCTTTGGCCTACATGTTTTGCGATGGAGCACCATCATCAACGCTACAGCCCAGTTTCGTCTCAAGGGCAAGATTCTGTCGGCAGGCCTCTCCTGGTTCAGGAATTCCCCGAGATGGTCCTTTGGTAGCAATCTTGTACAACTAAAGACCGAGTTCCGCCTCATCTCGGACGTCCTCGCCGCCATGAAAGTTGTTGCTGCCATCGGTGCTAACACGAGCGGCGTTAATTCGCTACGTTCCAAAGAGCAGCTTCTGCAACTACTGTTGGAAAACGAGCAATCGCGCCTAGCGGTATGGACAAGCCCTCTAAGCCAGCATCACGCTCACCTGACGATCCATCACAACTCCTCGAAAGCAGCGACGGAGGCTGCTCTTCTGCCACTGATTCCTACAGCCTGGTTCCAAGATCCTGCTATCGCCATTGAGCTTGCAACGAGATTTCACTACCCTCGCTTGGCTCGCGAGATCAGATCACTGCTTCTTGCGATGCCAGAAAAAGCCATATCTGAACCTGAAGCCATTCCTCTCATGCTCGGTGGCCATCTACCTGAAGATGTCACTTCACAACTCAAGGTAATTCCTCCTCACCCCCTGACTCGTCAGCCTGTACATTAGACAAGTATTCTAACGCGAATCTCTAGTATCTCTTGTTTTGGGAGCCGATCAATCCTCTCACTGCGGTGACTCTCTTCCTGCCAGCATATAGAGACCATCCTTTCCTCATCCAGTACGCTATGCGAGCTCTGGAGAGTCATCCAGTGGATATTACCTTCTTCTACGTGCCTCAGATTGTGCAAACACTGCGTTATGACACACTCGGATACATGGAACGATACATCCTTGAGACTGCCCAGTTTTCCCAACATTTTGCTCACCAGATCATCTGGAATATGAAAGCCAACGCATACAAAGACAACGACGGCGAAATCCCCGATGCCATCAAACCAACTCTTGACTCCATCATGACCAAGATGGTGGACAGCTTCTCCCCCGAAGACAGAGACTTTTACCACCGAGAGTTTGCCTTTTTTGATGAAGTCACCAGCATTTCGGGTAAATTGAAGCCATATATTAAGCGGCCAAAGCCGGAGAAGAAGCAGAAGATTGAGGAAGAACTCCGAAAGATCAAGGTTGACGTTGGCGTCTATCTCCCGATCGATGCAGACGGCATCGTCATTGGCATCGATCGCAAGTCTGGAAAGCCTCTGCAGAGTCACGCCAAGGCTCCTTACATGGCAACCTTCCGCATCAAAAAGCACAAGGGCGGACTCGAGCAAGAGAACCAGCTCTTGGAGGGTAGTGGAGGGGAAGAAGGCAAGGAGCACGAGGACAACACGGTCGAGATATGGCAGTCGTGTATCTTCAAGGTCGGAGACGATTGCAGACAGGACGTGCTTGCGCTGCAGATGATTTCTGCCTTCCGGGGCATCTTCCACAACGTCGGCCTCGAGGTTTTCGTGTTCCCGAACCACGTCACTGCGACGGCTCCCGGTTGCGGTGTCATTGAGGTGTTGCCCAACTCGATTTCCCGAGATATGCTTGGTCGCGAGGCCGTCAACGGACTTTACGACTACTTTGTCTCGAAGTACGGCAACGAGGACTCCCTTCGCTTCCAACAAGCCCGCGCCAACTTTGTCAAGTCCATGGCCGCCTACTCTGTCATTTCGTTCCTGCTCCAGTTCAAGGATCGCCACAACGGCAACATCATGATCGACGACGCCGGGCACATCCTCCACATCGACTTTGGCTTCTGCTTCGACATCGCCCCCGGCGGCATCAAGTTTGAGCGTGCGCCCTTCAAGCTCACGAGCGAAATGATGGCCGTCATGGGAGGCTCGTCGGACCACCAGAGCTTCAAGGCCTTTGAGCAGCTCTGCATCAAGGCCTTCCTCGCCAGCCGCCAGTACTGCGAGAAGCTCAGCCAGATTGTCCAGCTCATGATGGACAGCGGCCTGCCGTGCTTCAAGCCGGAGAGTGTGCAGAACTTTAGGGACCGCTTCGTCATGGACAAGACGGAGCGGGAGGCGGCCGACTTCATGAAGGACCTTATCAAGAAGAGTTACTCGAGTTACAGCACTGGTATTTACGACCAGTTCCAGCTGCTTACCAACGGTATTCCTTATTGAGCGGGCTAAAATCTAGCTATTCTACGGGTCTCTTTTTTTGTTTCTTCGTTTTTGTCACTTTACGTTCTTAATTCCTAGTAGGGAATCCCGTTTTAGAAGATATGTTGATAATACTTAATAAAAGAGGAAAAGGAGGAGGGTATAGAGGAGAGGAAAGGTAGATTACCAGGGGTTTTGGCAAGTCAATATCCAATACCAATATACTAGATAGTAGTTTTCAATTCACATTCAGCGCGCGGAAATAATAGCAACTGCTTTATATCTTTGTCATCTTGGAACCCAAAATAATCTTCCACATCTAAAAACAAACCATCAGCGCAGCTAAGCAAGTAGTCTCTACGCCTGTGACATGAAAATGCCAAAGTAAGCAATTATCGCGAAAATATCTCACGTCATACGGGGCCTTCTTTTTAAAAGAAAAAAAAAATTCTCTTCCTTTAACAAGACCCGTTCAGGCGCGCGCATGTCATGAAGCAGGCTGCTTGAGCATGTGCGTTGGCGCATTATAGCTCAGGTAATCTACGTGGACAAATGCCCTGTCTACAATAGGCACCGACTCGAGGAAATAGGTCAGCACCTCACTCAAGTCATGGCTATCCTTAAGCGGTGTATTGGCTGAGAGCACAATATCCACCTCCACGAAGAGCTTGTCGCCCGCGTGATACGCGCGCAGGTTCTGAATCTGGCGGATGGCGGTGGCAAAGCGCATGGTGAGATAGAGAAGCAGGTTTCGCTCGTCAGGTTGGGCAGAGAAGCCGGTTAGGTTGCGGATGTGTTGAGCCGAAGTGCGGCTCCAGATGGTGATGACAACGAGGGAGAGGACAAGACCACCGGAAGCGTCAAGCCACCAGATTCGACCATAAAAGCCAACTAGAGAGGTGGAGAATTCAGCGTCAAACCCAGAAGATATCGGGTAAAAAAAGAAAGCGACTTTGACGTACCCAGGGGAAACAAGATGGAGCCAATATTGAATACGACATCCGTAATTGCATCATCGGCTCTGTGTAGAATAAAGAGTCAGTCTACGTAACGGCAATGCCTAACAACCGACACAAGGCGTGACTTACAGGGCTCGGACACTTGAATTTCTGACGAGGCGGCACCACAGCCAACAGCCGCCCTTGATTACAATAGTCGTTATCATGATAACGATGGCTGGCAGGCCCAATTGGAGGACTTGGTGGTTTGGTCCAGCAAGCCGCTGGATACATTCCAGGCTAACTTGGCAGAAAGAAGTTACCATGATGACTGAGAAAACCAGCACTCCGAGAGGTTCAAGTCTATTGGTATTAGTGAGAGTACAAACCCGCACAGAGCCCAACGCATGGGAACAAACTTACCGTGATCGCCCAACAGGATAGTTATGTTGATCCCGTTGGCTTGATGATATCAGCCGGGTTGTGGTCCAGACGATGGCAGTACTCAACAAATCGAGAACTGCATCAACTAAAGCCGCGAGAACGGACATGGATGGGACCGAGATGATGACGGCAATTTTTCCTGCCAGGAGGATGATGTTTGCGATGAGATTGATCCAAATGGCCAAGGCCACAATAGGATCGTCGTGGTCCAGATCAGCGTCTTCCAGCCATGGAAGATTCGGCTGTGGGCCAGCTTCCTTGGGCGAAACGTTTGGTTGGGGAGATTGCAGTCGCGAATTCGACTCATTCGCCTCGTCATCCTCGTGCTGCAGCAGCGGCAAATTCTCCGAAGAGCGAAAGATATCCTTTGGGGTTCGCCTCTGGGGGAGTGCTGTTTTGAGCGTAGATGATGAGCTACTATTGTGTCCGCTAGCAAAGTTGTTAATCGAGCCGTACGACCCGGCAATCTGGTTCAGGTGTGACTGAGTTTTGTATGAGGCTTGGGGGGTTTCTTCAGCAATAGTATCAGGGACATCAACAGGCTTAAAAGCTGAAGCCTCTAGTTCGTTTGCATATTCGTTCAACAACTCATGGGGAATAGAAGAGTCGAGAAGACAGTCAATGTACATGTATTGCTGGATCAGAGAATTCGTTCTCTGGTAGAATTCACGTCTTGGAGATGATTGAATAGTCAGCCCCTCGACTCTCACGTCGGCCAATGACACCGGAACAGTCCTTACAGGGGCTTCTTCATGTCATTGAGCTGCTCTTTCGTCTTCCAATACCGTTCCCAGCGATATCGCGGGTTACTTCGCCCAATGAGCTTCAAGCTCCGCGCCTGTGGGCCAAGAAGAATCTGTGACAATCGATGCTCATCTCGCAAGAGTCTCTCGATCTCTTCATCTTCGTTGCGCATCCACGAATTGCGCATGGACCCTGTCTCCTCATCGTCTACGAGATGGCGCGGCGTCGGAGCTGCTGGCCGTAGACTCGTCAGGCTTTGTTGAGATCGGGTCCGGATCAGTGATGTCAGGGTCTTTGTCCGCGTATGCAAGGAGGAGTGATAGTAACTATCATCGTGGCTAAGCCAAGGCCGGTTTGGCGAAGTCATTTTTTAAGACTCTGTGCAAAAACCCGCTCCGTTCCGATACGTTCAAAGTCAATTGGATGCATCAAATGAAGAAACAACGGATAAGGGGAAGAATCTGAGACGTAGGAAGTCCAACCGCCGGATGACGTAGGCGCGAAAATCCTGCTCGATCTCGGCTCAATCGCCTTGTGCCATGTGGTAGCGCAAAGGCAAGGCCTGCGAGGCGTCAGCTAGCTGAAGACTGCTGTGCCTTACTCGTATGCGACAGGCCGCACAGATGGCGGTTTAGATTGTCCATTACGAGGAACTAGCAAGCTGCTAGGCCGCAATATGAGGCCGCCAAGTAAGCCTCCCGTACTTTGAAAAAGCCAACTCGGCATCATTGGCCCAAGCGCAAAACAAGGTTGGCAGGCATGAGTCGAAGACGAGCACAAGGATGCATATTCACGAGTAACCGGTAAACTCTGGTTGATGTCAATGGTCTAGGACTGTCCAGAGACCACCATATCAAGACGGGCGGCTCGTCGGAGAATAAAGACGGGCGACAAATGTTGCAGCTGGTCCGGAGATGCACGACCACGGAAGTCGGCCTAGCGCAGTGTTATTGTATGTAGCTTTCAATCCATGCTTGCATGCTTAGCCGTGATATCAAGTGCCCGCTTCCACCGATCCGCTGAGTACCCAGACTCTGGCCCCGATCCGGCTGGTGGGCAGAAGCCTGGTGGCGGCATGTAGCTCTGGATGCGAGAGACCAAGATCCAACCATGTTTTAGGAGAGGCCGGTAGTAACAGGTACGAGTACTCATACTCTGCATCTATCCTGTGGAGAGCTTCGATATGCACTCCGTACAATACAATCGACGCATTGCTGCCGGCACATCGCCTGCTTGGCATTGTCTCCGAGACAAGGTGAGCCCGTCAAAGGCCATCTTAGACACTCGCTTGTAGGCACAGGTAAGCTCTAGGTAAGTAAACCTTGGTGGAATGCAAGGGAAATGATGATACATCAGCGCGTGGATACGATGTCGCATGTGAGATTGGGCTGGGGCACGGCTGAAAGATTTACATTTTTGCAAAGACAGTTTCTACAGTAGTAGTATTTTGTTTCCCGTGAAATCAAAGGATCCTGTGATCTGTGCTGACAAAGCTGCTCAGTGCTTCCATTTCACGTGTGGAAGGAGCAATGAGTTTGCCAACTTGAAACCTGTAGGGCAGGAGCCAAGATGAGGTGGAAACTATATCTCGCTGGAGTTGAAAATGCACAAAATATTCTTTCTTCTACACCACCTCACAGCATCTACGCAATTTGTCGTCCTCGTACGTCAATGCCGCAGTTTATCAGCTCCATTGGTCAACCAAACTGACTTCTGGATGCAGGCTTCTCGGCTTTTGACTTTTCCAATGCTGTGCTGTGGCACCCGTTCCTGGATCCCGGGTAGTCCGTTCCTGGACAAGAAGCCAAAGACTCGAGCGCTGTGCGACGTGGTACCAGCTCCAGCTCCAGCACACGAGGTGATGAACCTTGATCCCCCCGCATGCATTCATCAAGGATCGAGAGGCCCACTGAAAACCTTGCCTACTGTCGACTATGCCTCATCCAGGCGCGTGCTGCTCGGGATGATGTCTACCTAGTACCTATGCTATTCGGCTCCAATTGCCAACAAGTCATTCCACGTCAACGGGAGGCCCTGACAGTCGAGGGGTGGGCTACAGATGGAGATGGAGCCAGCGTACTCGTACGAGAAGAAAATTTTTTGCAGCTTGCTGGGCCGCAGTTTTAAGCATCGCCGACCTTGGTGCCTTCAGTGGGCCTGCTCGATGGCGACTCCAGCAGGTTTGCGTGGAAAGCAGATGTCATCGTCCGCAATCATGGCCTCTTCGAAGGCGACTTGTGGAGGTGGGACCTGTCCACACCCAAGCCCACAAAAGTCTTGCACAGAGTTGTGTGTGAAAAGCTTGTTGGCGCCGATCGCACTCCCGAAGACCTGATGATCTCTGCTCTCCCTGAAGATCAACAGACCTTTGGGCAGCGCAGCCGGCGCTTGCCAATGGCCTGGCCGAGGATCAGAGCCCTGTGCTCCGTATTGCATCACAGGTCCTCTTGTGCTTGACGGAGGTTTCGCGTTGCACACGGAGGGAAAAAAAAAGGCAGCTACTGCAGTGGAGAGTTACGGCGAGAACCACCATCTCTCTGTACGAGTACCTTGCGTAGTACCCGGCAAGGAGGCATTGAGACAGAGGCATTGAGAAAATATTCGACTATGCCGAGCCAGTAGTGCTCCGTCGCGCCAAGTCGGAAGTGACGGGCGCATTGATTAGGCGTCGATGGGACCTGTACTGGCACAGCTGAAGACTTGATAGCTGCTCCATTCGAAGGCCCGACGCTTTTGCTCTCACCACTTGGCTACGAAGCGCGCTAGCCAGTGGCGACCGTTTACCCCTGGAGCGTTGCGAAGAAGAGAGCTGAGATTTTAACACGCCATATCACGCAAAGAGGAAAGCGCCTCACCATGTCGGTTGATCGATTTGAACTTGCGGCTGCATGTTTACTCCCCGTTGGCTGGCCGGCTTTGCTGCCCCAATTATCCACCTCCTTGTCTATCCTGGGCAAAGGCCGAGAACACGACATGCCCTCCTGGGAGGGGGAAAATTAGAAGAAGAAAAAAAAACAAGCGTCGACGGGGAGGACAAAAATAACCAAATGACATGAACAGGGCTCTCCGGATTTTGTTTTCTTTTCCATGACACAGCGCTCGCATTCCAGTCTCGACGAGGGCCAACGCAATTCGCGCCCCTTGGAGATTCAATTCCTCCAAGTTTTTCGGGATACTCCATATTAGCCTGCATGTATCAAGTACTACTATTCCATGCTTGCCGACTGCAACCAGTCTCAAACTGCTTTTCGGAAGCAGGCCATGGAAATGGGACGGTGCACCCCTAACGCCATCACCGAAAGTCAAATCTCTTGCGCCTATGCATGCATGTACGAAGGCTCCAATTAAATACTACTCCGTGCTACAAGTACGTGCCTGCGAAGCATGTGCATGCGCAACAAATCGTGCAAGCTCAGAACGCCCTCAACTTCAGCTCCACCGAGCTGATGAGGCCGTACAGGAATAGTACATGGCATCAGATATCTAGTGACGGCTTGGTCCGAGAGGGAGGCATTGCTGATGCGCGTGAATCCTCACAGGCAGTGCCTGCGTGAGCGAGGCAGCACGAGATGCTCTGCACGGAGTTCGGAGTCGCACATGGCGCTGGCACCCAAACCCCCCAAGCCCTCTTGGCAAGCTTACAGGCGCAAGCACTGGTATTGATACCGCAAATAATCACCACCAGCGATGGATACTTCTCGTATGGCCACTACCTACTCGTACCTCGCGGCCCATCAATTGAAAGCCAGCCATTCCGCGTCTCCACTCGTGATAACCGCCCGCTAACTGGACTAAGCCCCAGCCTCCACACGGTTGCCGCCCGGGCTGATGGTACATGCACTCGTATCTCAAGAGAGCAGGGAGCAGGACGCAGAGAACGGAGCGCCATGCTTGGGTGCTGAGGCATCGTAGGCCGATGCCGTTTGTGTCAATGCTGTTGCTGTTGTTGTGATGTGCTTGTGTTCGTCAATGCTCGGCGTTCGTTCGTTCCACTGCGGTCTGAACCCCCGGGCCATAGCCCACCACACCACACCTGTCGCAGCCGGAACCCAACCACACCACCTGATTCGCATCCAGTCTTTCATATCCTCCACCGTAATGGCTAGCGAGAAGAGGCGCCTGGATCCTCCGTGTGCAGACAGGGGAGCCAGAAAGGGACAGCAGCTAGGCAGGGATAGGGGCGGGCTACCTGAGCACTGAGCTCCGTCTCTTTGGCCTGCCATCCATGGCTTACGAGATCGGCCTAACAGACGCAGCCCAGGCTACCGACAGGGGACCAATCTGATGGATGGTGAATGGGATGGGATGGATGGACGAACTAGCCACTCAATAGCCGGACACGCATCTTAACGCCTGGCCCGGCCGACCGTCGCTCTCCTGAAGTTGCATCCCTTTTTTTCTTCTTCTTCTCAACCCCTTCTTGTCGTACGCTGTCTTGTTCCTGCCGCTCTCTTTCATCGCCCACCGACGTCGAACTCGAGGCTCCGAGCGTCTTCTTCTCAGCGAGAGCTTGGATTGTCTAGCACTGTCTCGTATAGCCCCAAGAGTACCTGCGTTTGGCTCATTTCCCCCTCTTTGATAGCTGCCTCGGCTGCTCACTCGTTCGTGTTCGACTTCTTTTTTTGGGCTTTATTCGCCGGCATACCTTTCGCTCCTCGCGCCGTCTCTTGCTTGACATTTGTTTACTATTGTTCCGGCATCAAGCATCACCGCTTTCTAGCCTCGCCTTTTATTGTATTTTATTCATTTGTATTTTGGATTTCTGTTTCTTACCAACCTTCATTTCCTTGCGCCGTGTCTTTGCATTACGTCTTTAATCTCCCTCTCTCTCCGGCCCCTCTTATTCATTGCTTTTTGCATCCTTCTTCGGATCGCTCCTGGAATCGCGAGATACGAGCCTGTGCGCCTGCATTATTGCGCTGTAATCCCGAGATTAATGTGAGTCTCACGCTTTTCTTTGCCTAGCCTTGCGCATGCCGGACGCTCCCGGCCAACCACCTGGTCATGTCTCAGCCAGAAATACCTGCCCACCGCCAGGCCAGCTTACCAACAAGGAGTCTTGCTGGCTTTCTCAGAACCAAACAATTCATTCTGGCCTCGTTACACTCGCGGCTCGTCCTCTTCGACAAAGGCGGGACCAAGGCCCAAAAAAAAGAGAGATGCACTGGACGGGCATTTGCTAACGTGGGATATTTCTCTATGCAGCCACCCAGCAAACTTGTCGCCCAACGAGTTTGACGCGATTACACCTGACAGCCACTCAGACGATCCATCATTCGTCGCTTTTGTCCTTTTATCACCGGACCTCGTATCGCCAGGGTCCCAAGCCTGCTGACCCGTTCCCACCCCCTCAGCCGCCGGAAAATTTGTTGGGTAGCGTCGGAAAAAATCGCCGTCGAGCTGCAAGATAGGAGGTGCAGTCAAAATCTCGACCAGAGACTTCTCATCGTGTGGTCTTCATGCCTAGATTCTCAGTTGCCTTTGCCAGGCGGAAGAGCACCGCAGACGACATCGAAAATGCCGAGGTAACACCACCTGGACAGTCTTCGTTTAGAGTCCTGGAACGACACGATTATTCGGGCGTCAAATCGTTTGACGGAGGAGCGAAGATGGCTAGATCCACTGGATCTCTACTCCCCAAGTCTGACTATCCAGCAGACGATAACATGTTCTCTGATATGAAAGCTAACCGGTAAGTTTCAAGCCATTTTCTTGTGTTTGAATCCTTTGTCTTGGCGAAGAGGGAAGGGGATGGGGGACTGGAGGAGAGAGATGCGCTGTGCTGTTTGATCCATGTCTGAGAGACTCAACCATGGGAAGTTATCATCTTGACCCTTCTGCATACTAACTGCTTCGTTAAGTGGAAGCGGCTTGTCCAACACCACCAACACCACGTCTACAGATGCGTCTTCACGCCACAGTAATGCATCGACAGCCCCGTCGTCGGCCGACTTTAGTGGAGGCAACTTGTTCCACGATGACCATCGAAATGGACCACCCAAGAGTTCATCATCGGATATGCATGGCCGTGGGAATTCCAACAAATCCATCGGATCCAAATTCTTAGATCGGGCTGGCCGTACCTTTTCGTTTGGCGGGCAAAAGAAGCATACCATCCCTCCACCCCTGGAGGACCCTCTTATGCCGGACTTGCCGCCACCTATGCCTATCATGGCTGAACCAGGACGCACTGGATCTAGAGGTACGACTACATATACGCAGGCCCCAACCATTCCCCGCAAGCCAGCTCCCCGTAATACCAATGCGTTAGACCTTGGTAGTGACTTTGGATCAATGTTTTCAGGATCAGGTTTCGAAAAGAGAGCAAGCATGGCCACGCTTAAGAACGACGACTTGGCTTCTCCCCGGCTCCTCACAGGCAACCCCCAGGGCCATGGCCAAACGTTTCCACGCAGCCCAGACGCCGCCACACCAGCCGAGCCTTTGCTCAGCTCATGGAACACGTCCAAATCCAATGTGATTGTCGACGATTACTCATCGGACAAGAGCGCCTCACCAACATACGATAGCCCCCCGCGAGTCCCAACCCATTCATCCCCACGGTATCAGTCTCCCGCTCGACAACCACCGGCCAGGAAGTCGCCCCCAGCTGAGCAACCCCCAGCTCGTCAGCAGCCCCCTCCTCGTCAGCAACCCACGCCTCGCCAGCAACCACCAGCTCACCAGCCACCACCAATGAGCCCTGATGAGTCACAGGATGACGAGGATGCGCAGCTCCTGCAGGAAACCTATACTGCCATCCAGCTCCTTTCGGCTGAAGATGATGAATTTGATGAAAACCCACAACAGGGGCGATACCGGCGGGAGGAGGATAGTTTCACGGCGGCTCCACGAGCCAAGACTGCTCCCATCGCCAACTCTGGAAAGAATGGAGACGGTATGCAAGATGCCAACAGGCCTCGATTCCCGAAGCCCAACATTCGATACGTACCTCCTGATGGTGCGCCTCGGAACAAAGTGATGACCCCAGCTGAATTCGAAAAATACCGGGAGGACAAGATTCGCCATGATAGAACGAACAGCACAGCAAAGGATGATGAGGACGAGGACATCAACTATGAGGATGAAGAAGACGAGGTTGAAAAGTCTAAGCAACAGGCAAAGCAGAGACGGAAGCAGGAGGCTCACATGGCTGTGTACCGACAGCAGATGATGAAGGTTACTGGCGAAACCACCCCCACAGATGGGTTGGGCATCCCGACTTCAATGAGCGCACCACAGCTGGGCCATATAAAGACGCCCTCGCTTGACCCGGCGGCGGCGCCTCCGCCCATGTTAGCACCTGCAACTGCCGTGTCTGGCGCCTCTGATGAGGGCGATGATGATGAGGAGATCCCGCTTGCCATTTTGCAGGCGCATGGATTCCCCAGCAAGAATCGACCCCCCACCAGACTCAGCACAATGGGATCAAACCCTAACATGCGAGCCTCAGCAATGCTCATGCCAGGGCGCCCATCGTCAGCCATGGGAGAATCTGCTGGTTCCCGACGCCACTCCACCCTCCCAGCTTTTGCACGGAACTTGCCCCAGGACCCGTTCATTGGAGCGAGCATTGCTCAGCCTGCCCTTCGAGAGTCTCTATCATTCAACGATATGGGCCTGGGCCCTAAGCCGCCGTCTCCGCTGCCCCCCGGAGGTCTTGTTGGCGTAATTGCCAGCGAGGAGCGACAGAGAGCAATGCGACGTGGAAGTCCAAGCGTCGACCCCTCAAGACTCATGGGCAGCGGCTTCTCTACTCCGGTAGGAGTCGACCCTGCTGCCGGGATCCCCCCACACATGATGTACCCCCAGACTCAGATGGGAGGCATGGGAGGCATGGGGGGTATGGGAGGTGGAATACCTGGCATGATGCCTCCTATGATGCAGCCGCCGATGGTGAACGCCGGCGACCAAGCTCAGCTCCAGATGACGCAGCAAATGTCGCAGTTTATGCAAATGCAGATGCAATTCATGCAAATGATGGCTGCGAACCAAAACGGCGCCGTGCCACAGCAGCAGCCGCCGCAGCTGCAGCCACCGTTCCAGCAGCCCTATGGCGGTTTGATGGGCAATCAATCCATGGTTGACATTTCTTCTCGCAACTCCATGATGGGCGAACAGACTCTGGAACCTCGCCGTGGTGATTACGGCAGCATGCGGACAATGAGCATGGTTCAACCCAGCTCAGCGCCGATGGCTCATCCTGGATACGCTGGGTCTATTCGATCATCTATCCATGGGTACACGCCGTCGATTGCGCCGTCAGAGCGAAGCAACATTGGCCTTCCCAACCGGTATAGACCCGTCTCACAGGCTGTGGGCCCTACCGGGCTCGGTCATATTCCCTCGCAGTCTTTCTCAGGGGCCCTGTCTGTGTTGGCTGACAACAAGAACCGGACGTCGATGAGGATTGTAAACAAGTCGGCTTCTGATGACGACGACGACGAAGAGGGCTGGGCGGCGATGAAGAATTCGAGAGAAAAGAAGAGATCTCTCTGGAGAAGCAAAAAGAACTTGAGCTCAGTCATCTGAGCAAATGATGTCATTACCGAACTTGCATGCCTTTTCACCCCTCTCCTTTGTCTCATCCTACGGGCGAAGGGCAAGATGTGTTTATGGATGAAGATGCGTGCATCTGTCTTGTGGTGCAAGCGTGAATTTGTGCGAGTGTGAGTGCGAGAGAGAGAGAGAGAGAGAGTGTGTGTGTGTTGTGTCGCCTTTGTCGAACCAAGGGGCGAGCACGAGTAATTGGGATTTCTAACTTGGACCTCTTCTGACGCTATGCTTGGATTACCATGGTCCGTCATATTATGCAGCGCGACCCGACATAAAGGAAAAAAATATAATCATTTGACAGGCTAGATGTTTTGGGATGTCCGCTCGGGCGTCAATGGTGGGAACATTTGTCTGGGCGGATTCGCGTCACGCATGATAGAAATGGCTCTACGCCGTAATTGAATAATTTGTCTGCAACGGCTCTCTCCTTTTCTTTTCCATTTGTCTGGCAGAAGGGGGAGGGAGGGAATCATGACTTATAAGCGATGGGGAACGAAAAAGATAAAGGCAAAAAATATCGTTGGGAAATCAAAACGGATGTATCTAATCCAAAGCGGTCAATTTCTTCTTGTTTTTTTTGTAGCTAGCTGCTAATGGGTGGTATCAAACTGAGTAGCTGTATCATAATATCTGACTGAGCTTTATGGAGCCGACATTTTGACTCTATTCTTGCCAATATCTTGCCAGCGTGCCTTTATATGGGTTTCGTGAAATCGCTCTTCTCAAACGCCATAGTGTTTGGAGGGTTTCTCTCTCTCCATTTATATTTCTTGAAGGATTTCTTCTTTTTTATATGTATGTAAGTTGAGTTTTAGCCCTGGATCTTTCCGGTTGCCCACTCGTTCTTCTTGACGCCCATCTCCACAGCCGCTAGGCCCCAATCTTCTCCGTGGTTGTGGCCCTTGCCCTCAGCGCTCGTGCTAATACCCGCGCGGGACTTTGCCTGCTCCTCAGTGAGCACGGTCAGAACGCCGAAGATGACGGGGATGCCGATGTCGAGCTGGACGCGCATGAGGCCCTGGGAGACGGAATCGGCAATGTACTCAAAGTGCATGGTCTCGCCCTTGATGAGCACGCCAATGGCAATGATTGCGTCAAAGGGTCCGCTGGAGTCGCCGGCGGAGAGAGCGGTTAGGTCGTGAGTCGAAGCACCGAGGAGATCGGTGGCTGAGGGAGCGCCGGAAGCATTGGACTGAATCTGAGAGGCAGAGAATAGTCTATTTTCCCCATTGAGAGCGCGCGCACATCAGTCATCTTTGATCTTCGGTTGCTAAGACGAAAGAGGAGGTGGTGGGAGTGAGGGGGGCAGCATTACCGCTGAACAGCAATGGGGAGCTCCCACGAGCCCGGGCAAGACTGAATCACAATGTTGGACTCCTTGACGCCGGCCTCCAGCAGCTTCGCCTTTGTGCCGGCCAGGAGAGGCTCGATGATGGTGGTGTTCCAGCGGGCGTGGACGATGCCGATGCGAAGGCCGGAGCCGTCGTGGTGCTGAGGAGCAGGGCCCTTGAGAGAAGACATGGTTGGGGAGGCTGGTAGAAAAGCGACGTTGGGAAAAAGAGAGAAAGATGCTAAAGGGGGATATGTTTGGGGTTACTATAGTAGGTACTAGTATGCTTATCCAAGAGTGTTTTTGTATGATGTTCGAGGTAAAGATCAGATCAGAAACAAATAGACATGCGATGGGAGCTCAGCTTCGGCTAGCTGACTGATCAGATGAATGCGGCGGGGCTACAGGCACGGCGGCGGGGTACTAAGGTGCTGGGAGCGGTAGCTGGTACTTTGCGCGGCGGCGGAAACGTCACTTTGGTCTGCAGGAACTGGCTGGCAGGTGACCGGCGCGGTGACTTTTGGCCAAGGTCGTTTCTGCGTGGCGCGATTACGAAGCAGCTACAAAACCTTACGGTATCCTGCGGGTCTTGGAGCCTCTTTCCCATGTGCTATTGTCGAAATTGGCTGAGGTAGCGACTACTACTAGTACTGACCTCAGTACTAACAACAGACAGGAAATCGCAGCTTCCTTTTTGCATTGATTCCCGTCTTGATTCACCGAGTCAATGTCGGAAGGAGTGATGAATGAAAGCTTCAGTATGTACTTGCTCTATAGATAGCAGACGCTCATTTAATGGCAGCCTTGGAGGCATTTTGCTCCAATTGGCTTCATTTCAGCGCAAGCCCTCTTCATCATCCCGTACCGCAATATCGTGAAATCCCCAAGTGATAATACCGTTATCCAGATACCTATTATGCCGTGTTAATTACAGTTTTTACAATGCCAATCTCAGCTCTGCCTCAATCGACTGTCCGCTTTCTTGGCTCCTCGGTCGTCATCACCAAGCCTTGCGACGTGGTCAAGGAGCTCCTGGACAATGCCATCGACGCGGGAGCTAGCTTTGTTGAAATCGCAATCTCACCCAATTATCTCGATACGATACGAGTCCGTGACGATGGCCAAGGAATTGATATTGAAGATTTCGATGCTCTTGGCAAACGTGCTCATACCAGCAAGTTGAGAGCTTTCAAAGAGCTTGGTTCGAGGGCCAGGGAGACGCTGGGCTTTCGCGGCGAGGCGCTTGCGGCCATGAATTCTCTCGGTACCATCACTGTTACAACCCGAACGGCCGAGGATGTTGTGGCGACACGTTTGCAGCTCAAGCAAAACGCCGGAGGTGTTGACAACAGACAGCCAGTATCGGCTCCTGTTGGTACAACCGTTCAGATCACCAAGCTTTTCGAAACTCTGCCCGCTAGAAAGCAGTATTCTTTGACGAATAGCGCCAGATACATACAATCTACAAAAGATCTCTTGAAAGCTTGCGCCCTAGCTCGACCCGACCTTAGACTATCATTCAAGGTTCTTGGAGAAGCTACCCACTGCTGGTCATACGCCCCAGTTTGTGCCGCAGGAGTCAAGGAGGCAGCTCTACAGATATTTGGAACTACTTTGGCCAATAATTGCATCCATGTGTCTCGCAACTCAGGGTGTGACCAAACGACAGCCCCCCAGCTCGGCCAGCAGCTCCCCGAAGATTTCATATTGGAAGCTCTCATCCCAAAACCCGTATTTGATGCCCAAGCTGTCAAGGGAAAAGGGATTTATTTATCCATCGACTCAAGGCCCATCTCATCTCTGGACCCCATGGCCAAGAAGATCATGGCCATTTATAAGCCATATCTGAACCGGGCTGCTGGCACTGGAGAGCCTTGTGCTAGCATACCTAATCCTTTTGTACAGCTCAATATTCGGTGTCCTCCTAACAGCTACGATGTAAATCTGACACCGCTTAAGGATGAAGTTGTATTCGTGAACGAAGACACCATCACGGCCTGTTTTGAGGGACTTTGTCAAAAGGTATACTCCCAAGGACCCATCAATCGCCCAGTTTCAACACAAAGGTTCTTGGGGCGTGAGAAGGAGATAAGGGCATCAACAGAGGATATAATTGAAAGGCAGGGTATCCTGTCATACTGGGAGATCCACCGTATGCCAGATCCTCCGACTCCAGACTCCTGCTCGAATATTCAATCGATACACAGCGCAGAGCAACTAACCGCGCTCCTACGAACAACAAGAGATGAACCAGGCAATCAAGAGAGTGTGCCTACACTATTGTCCGAACAGTCTTGCACTCAAGGCGCAACTTCGTTGGCAAGATTGAGGACATGGAAAACTGTAAACATGTTCCGAACCAACAGCAACTCTACTGACGAGGACGGCGGGGCGGATAGAGTTGAGATACGGGTGCCACAGTCGCTTATGACAGCCACAATTCCCTCTAACAAACGGACCAGCGGGAGCTTACGAATTCCTAACACTTCTGTATCGGAGAATATCGAAAGATATCTCCTCTCGAGCAAGAATGCAACTTTCCAAATAGCGACGGATGAGACGGCTACCGAGAGAACCCAACCAGCTTCTGTGACATCAACATCGCCTACGAAGTTCCCTGGCCGCATACCTCTACAACCTTTGACTGATTCCACGTTAAATGCGATGAATGGCCAAGCAGAGTCGGAATCTGATACTTTAAGTGCTGGATCAGATATACCAGAACCAAATCACCACACGCAGACCATTGTTGCTACCAATCAGACGGGTCAAATATTTCAACGAACGTCTCTTAATCCTACTCTGCCGTCCTTCGAGCCTGAGCCCCTGGGATTTGGCTCCCCGCATCAGTCGAGAAGTATGACGGAATGGCCCACGCCTCCTGCGTCTGGTAATTTGCGAAACGCGAGACCGTTCAATTCTCCTTTCAGACCCCCACTCAGGACTTCGCAAAGAGACCTTCCCGCAGGAAATATTGCAAATACACGATCACGGCTCAGGGCTCCGGAAAGTGGCAGGGTAATACCTTTTACTTTACCAGGGCAAACCCGCATCCAACGACCAGCGGTGCTTGGACGGACTACTCAACAAGTGGGATCGGTAGGTACTCCTAGGTCTAATGCAGATATAGGAATGAACTATCCTCAGCTGCACCCCCGAAGGGTACATGGGTTGAGTCGCCAGAGAGACATGGATCAAAATTTGACACAAGAGATTGGACTGGCATCACGGCAGGAAACCCGAGATGATGTCTCACAGCCGCATCTTTTCTTGCATGAGCCGGACCGGCATTCCCCCTTTCTGCAGACACCCTTTATGAGAGCTCTACCCCTCAGTATCACACCAGCGTCAAATACAGGCCAAGGTGATCCAAGTGCGGGTGACGGTGTCTCAATGGTTCAGACGCCCGATATCTCAACGACTGCCTTGGTTCGCTATGAACCACGGGATGTCACCCCCCCTGATAATGAAAATGACAACACAGGCGACCCGAGACTTTATCTTATCGAGCGGCGACGCTCACAAGCGAGACATGGCATTGCGAGGCGAATCTCATCTCAACGACTTCCTCTCGAGGTGGTTGCTAGTCACTTGACAATGCGGAACGCTTCCATTTCACTCAGGCCGTCGAAGAGAAAAGTCAGGTCATTGGTGAGACGAGCCCTTTTGCTAGACTATGGCACCTTGCCAGGTAACCGGGGACACGCAGTAGAGTTCCAAAGCATGGAAGAGGTTACCGAGCTGGAACAACGTCTCCACAGTGTTGTGGAATCATGGAAACAAACACAGAATCAGCCTGTTGAGGTGGAATATAAGCTACGATCGGCAGCAAAAGGCAAGGGGATGGGTCGTTGACTGCACCCCGATACTGTGAGCGTTGGTAGCTAGATCAGGGCTATTGGTTGAAGTAGGATGATGAGCAACAATGCTCATATGTGTAATTTGCTTGGGAGAAGATTTTGAAGGACATTTCAACAAAGGGCTAGTACAACACCTACGGTTTAACGAGCTATCTAGTCAATACAGTGTCTAATCTAATAATGATGTCGTAGAGTACAGACGTAGGAACGTTGGTAATTTGCCATGATACCAGCACTTGCTGCTTTCCACCAAGGCAGCCAAATTACCGCCTCGGCAGGAAAATAGCTGATTGCCGAGCTTGTGCTATATGCGGAGCTTAAAAGAATAAAGCTCTGAGCAACATGAAGCTACGGCCGGGAGACCCGGGCGATGTTTGGCCAAAGCGAATCTTGGGAAGTACATTCGAGGTGAGAAGTGGGTTGTACCGATTAGTAAAACGTCATGGAAGATTTGGCATTTCATGGTAACAGGTGGATCGGAGTCTGTACGGTGATGCCGGACCGGCAACGCAGGCAGGCCTGCTGTAGAAAGATACAGGGGGGGTTATGTTGGGTTTCCGAAATCTCCTGCGGGTTTTCAGCAAGTAAATGTGGCATGACGGGGGGGAGCATCAACATCAGGTTTCGCTATTTGTGATGCTGCGTATTTGACGGAGCTGCGTATTTGACAGAGCTGGAAGATGTCTCTTCTGGGAACAATTTGGTGGCCTTGCAGAGGGGTTGATCTTGATTGGGGTATAAGATTCGATCGAAATCGTCGGCAACGGTGTTTAACTCCCTTGAAACTTCGTATCATCGTACACGGAGTACGAGAAATCTTTGTGGAGGGCGATCTCGTGAGGGTCCCCATGCTCGGGGGTGTGGATGTACCTGTACCTGTACATGTACATGCATGGACTTTGGGGGGGGGGGGGGGGGGGGGGAGCTGCATTGGCTCGTATACGCGGATTGCGCGAGGGCGGAAACGGACTTTCTGGGTTGTGACGTGGTGGCATGAGGGACATGACGAAGTATGCGTGTATTTGAGAGGATTGGAGTTGATTGTGTGACGAGAGGGATTTTGAGGCCGCTTTGAGTCTAAGTTGAGTTGACGATGGCTGGTTCGTATCGTACCAGGCCGTACTGTTCCGACTTGGGCAAGGTTATGGTACTTGCAAGCTCGATGTGCGTGTTGAACGGGTTCACGTACCCGAAGCCAGAGCGAGGTACCTGTACCTGTGTGCGAAGCACCTCCACTAACACGCACAACACATACACACACACAACTTGCAGTGCTACACCACATAAACATTGATCCATTCGATAAATGTCCAATCATCAGCGGCAATAGGGGCTGCGGCCATGGCTGGCCCTGGATCGGTTTATAAATAGGCACGAGCAGTCCTAGCGGTTGGGACGAGGCCCGGCTAGGATGGATGGCGACTAGGCGGGAGGGACCCCCCGGGCAGCCAGTTGGAGCAGGGCACTTCGTATCTGCTGATGATTTGGGTGTGAGGATCGACGCCAAGCAGGGAAAAAGCTGATTGATTGATGGATGTTTCTTTTTTTTTTCGGTTACGCTTACTTGGATGTTGGGTGTCTGGTTGCACACTTAGTAAGTGAGATGGGTGAGAAAGCAAAAATATAACATGATGTGTGCTATATCATGTGCGAATGCCTTCTCGTGCTTACCATTGCTGCCGTTTTTTGTGGTGTTGGAATCGGACATGGAGCCTTACGAGTAGGAACTCAAGCAAGCATGAAAAGATCAAAGGCCCAGAGATAGATCCACCAAGTCAACGTCACCACTTTTTTCTTCTTCTCTCCCGCCTGTCAAACATGATTCACAAATCACCTGCATCCAGACCTCGTATTGCCTTGCCTTGTAAGCAGATCTGAGAACGGGGGGCCCTCGGTGGGAAGAAGGAGGAGCATCATGATGGCAGTCCGGTGCTAGTGCGCAGCAGTCATGTACTTGTAATGGCCATGTATAGGTTTCTAGAATTAGCACTCCCGTGCGGCGATAAGCTTGCAAATGTTTCTTGCATGAGCACGTCGGAGAAAGAAAGTCATACGTGCAGGAGGAATGGATACAGGTATACGAAGCTCCAGCGCGGCCGGCACTCCGTATGCAGGGCTATTTTCAGCCCGCAGCCGGTAATGGGGCGGTGGGGAGAAAGAGAAGGCACTTGATACCCTTTACCAAGAACTCCAGTGTGTTGTATACATTACATATTATATACGCGTTACATACGTTGCCGCCTATTGACACTGGGCAGGGCATGTTGGCAATGAAGCCATCGTGAGATAACAATGGATGCCCAGACGGGGCCGGCACTGGTTGGAACAGGAGCTCGTAATAATGCTGGAGCTTACTTATAGCATGGACGGGTCAGTCGTTTCAGGCCGTGGGCGCCACAGCAGGTGCACTGCCACTGTTTGCTCCGACCGGCGGGCGCCTCTTTTTGGGAGATCCATGTTAGAACAGACAAGTACCGCTACCTGGAGTAAAAGCGCCCAAGACACTGGCAGTGAGAGTAGGTCGGGACATGTAGCGCCGGCGGGATACGAATCTGGACGCTGCAATCCCTTAGTATGCACGGGCTGTGTCCTTGTTTGTGGAAAAATAGGTGTCGAGGGTACAGAGCACTGCAGAATGGTTGAGAAACTTGCATGGCAACACCGGCTAAAAGAGTCAATGGGAAGAAGAAATTGATGGATCTTGAAGATTGAAGACGTAACATGGAACCCTCGCCTCGCTACAGGGCTCCAACTTGAGCTCCCACAGCTGTTCGCTAGGGTCAACTCGGCGACGCTTCCAGGCGACCAACTGAGCTTGTGCTGGTACATGCTCACTGCTGTAGGCGCCGCCTCGCCTAGAACTCCAGCGCACTCAGACGCGCACGACACTGCCACTCTTCCCACTCCACCCTAGCTTTTCCCAGCTCCCAGACCATCGTCTGCGCCGTCCAACATTTGATCTCTCCCGATTTTTTTTTCTCTCTGCCTTTTTTCTTTTGCACATCCAGACCTTCCACTTTCCTGCCATTTTCTAACCTACAGTCCCTCGTTTTACCCTTGCGCTCGCTCGCACAGCCCTTCTGCTCGCTTTCGCTACCGTTTGGCTGATTTTGTTGCCCTGCCGCTGAAGATGCGCGACGTCTGAATGAAAGCCTGCAGAGATGGCCCCCTGGCTTTCGATGCCCACGATGCATCCATCTGATCGCCGTAGTTGCGACAACAACCACAACAGTCACCGCGACACCGGCTGCGACCGCCATGAGCCGCGCACATTGGCCGCGGACTCAGCAAAGGGCCAGCATCGCCCAGCATCGCCGCAAGCAGCCGTTGACTCTCGCTCGACCTTGCGGCTGCGGGAATCCGAACTCATGGAGGGGAGCGCCAAACAAGGCTGCGTCATCAGCGCGCGGACGAAATGGAGCATCTTCGCACGACCGGCGTGGCTCGTCCTCACATTGCTCACGCTCGCCCTCGTCGCGACGCCGGCCGCCGCCGTCCTGGTCGAGTTCGAAAACTGCCTCCCCGACTCGTACCGCTTGAACAATCCTCCCCTGCTGCAGTGGGAGCCTCTCTATGTCGACGCCTCCTTCGACACCAAGACGCCCAACAACAATCTCCGTGTTATTGTATGGGGGAATGTGACGGGCTCGCAGAATTCGGGGTCGCTTCCCCCACCGAATGACCCGTATTGGACCGATCCCAAGGAGACCAACGGCAAGATCGAGCAGACGCCCTACATCGATACTCTTGCTACGACGCTGATCCGGAGAGTCAACGTCTTGACGTACGAGCCGTGGAATGACGGCTCCGATTTCTGCGCGGCCGGTCTCGTCAATGGGACATGTCCGCTGGCACCGACGTTCGGCAATGTGTAAGTCGCCTGTCATCTCATCATCCCATCATCATCGCCCCTCCCTCAACCCCCCACCAGCTGGTCTCCTAAAGGCACTCTCATCCTTGCTGGGTTGCAGCATAGTGTGACCACTCACGCCCTGTCAATGCGATACTGACTAAACATATGCCTTGATCGTGTAGCGACCTCCCCTATGGACTTCCATCAGTCAATCTGTCCCATGACTTTTTCTCGTCATACGCCTTCAGCTCCTTCTCCCTTACCTTTCTCGTCATCAATGGCGACAAGGCCGCTACCAACATTGGCTGCATTTCCGCAGTCGTCACCCCCGACCTGGGTAGCCTCTCATGGGTGCTCAAGTTCATGCCCCTTCTGGTCCTGCTCTTTGCCGGCTTCGCCGTCCCGTTTGCCGGGATATGGAGCCCCTGGGGCACCACCAACGTCTTCCACTGGACATCCAACTATGGCCGAGACGCTGATTTGCTAAGGCTCGTCACTCCCGGGTTTAGTGACTGTCTGCAATACATTCAGTTCATCGTCCTGACTGGTGCCTTGACGCTCGACTACCCGGGCTTCTTCCAACCCGTCGTGAGCCAAGTTGGGTGGTCATCCCTCATGTTCAACGAGAGCTTTGTCGCTCATGCCGACCCGTGGCAGAATGTGGTGGATGGAATCTACGTGACCAAAAATGGCACGGCATACGGGCTGCAGAAGATGGCGCAGCTCATTGGCATGTCCGAGGCTGAGGACGTGTGGCCGGGCATGATGGTGTGGCTCTGTGTCATAATTGCCTCCGTCATCGTCCTCATCCAGCTTGGCTTTGCCCTCCAGTGGATCTTCCGCAAGATCAGGAAGACTACCGAGGAGGACCTGCGGGCGAAGAATATCCCGTTTGTCATTGGCAACGTGGTGCGCATTGTCTTCAATTTCATGCTGACCCCAATCGTGGCACTGTCGTGCTTCCAATTTGTCGTCTCCGGCCAGTCGCCGGGCTGGACCGTTGCCTTGGCTGCGCTGACACTGGCCGTAGTTATTGGCTTTGCGGCCTATCTGCTTTGGCTCATCATTACTACGCGGCCCAAGTCGGTTCTGTTTGATGACCTGCCCACCGTCCTACGGTATGGCCCTCTATATAACACATACGCCGACGAGGTCGCTGCGTTTGCTCTCATCCCGATCCTGCTCAACGTCATCAGAGGCGTTGCCATCGGTGCCGTTCAGCCGAGCGGTGTTGCCCAAGTCGTGCTTCTGGCCATTTGCGAGGTCATCCAAATCCTCATGATCTACGCATTCCGGCCCTATCAGAGAGCTACCTCGATGAATATCTATCACAGCCTCTTTGCAGTTCTACGGTTGATGATCATCATGCTCATGGTCACCTTTGTCCCCAGCTTGGGCGTTACGGAAGGCCCAAAGGGTTGGATTGGATATGCCATTTTGCTGCTCCATGCCTGTGTGCTTTCTCTCGGCTTCTTCCTTGGTGCCGTGCAGACCATCATCGAAGTAATTGCGAGATTGTTCGGTGCCGGCGGGGATGACATCACTGGCTTGACCAGAGGTGGCCTCTCCAAGATCTTTGGCATGAGGCAGCTGTCCAGGAGAGTCAACCACCACAGCCAAGGACCATCTCGGGCCAGCCAGCTGTCCACCGCAGCCATGCTGGATGCCGATGATAGTGGCAAGTCTGGCTACGTGATGCCCAGTGGTAGAGTCCGCAGCGGTTCCGTGGCCAGTCTCAGTGGTGTCATTACCCACCACCGGCACCGAAGCAGCTCGGCTCTCGACAGTATGTATTCGGCCATCCACCGTAATGCCGATACTGCCAGTTCGTACATACCGGGAACGCCCGGCGAGGCCAGCACCTTTTCGTTTCTTGCGTCACCATCTGCTGCTCGCCAGGGGCCGCCTGGAGTGGTCATGGAAGCCTCTGATCCATACTATCGCCCCCCACGGCGGCGCCGCGAGATGACTGGTGATTCCGGACAGTTCGACGGCCAGCGCGACTCACTCGTCATTGAACCTGTTCCTCAGGCCGGAGGATTGGCCCCTGAATCTCCGGATGGGGTGGCAGAAATTTCACGAGGAGCTACTCCGGCACCCGGACACGGCAACAATAATCTTTCTATAAGCATCCCGGCGAACCGACCTGACTACTCAACCCGCGAGGTTGACTTTTACTATGGTGTTCGGGGTCCTGCGCTCAACTCAGAGGGCCCCGGTAGGAAGCTGGGAACTGGCCCTGCGGACCCGACTGGCCCAGCGGCGACGGCTGCTGGATGGTTCCGCAGCCTGATATTTGGCGGCAAGACCAAAGAGAAGGGCAAGGGCTTTGAAGTTGTTCGAAGCGCCCGGATGCCGCCGAACATGGTTCGGAATGGAGGCTTTGGCGACGAGACGCCGCCAGAGGGCATTCCAGTCGCCATGGGCGTTATTAGAAACGGCCCTATCGATTCCGACGATGACGATGAGCCTCAAATCAAGAGGCCGAAGCGCCGCGAAGGCGAGCTGCTGACTGACAATGGCGACCCGCATGACTCTGACGAGGAGGAGCCTGACAGCCCGGTAACGGATAGACTCCCTAGGGGGCGGATATCTCGATCGGCCACGGCTTTGGGTTCCAAGGGGGCCGGGGATGGATTGGACAGCGATGGTGTCAGCGAAGAAGACTTGTCTGAGGTGGACCTTGATGCGCCAGTCATTCCGCGAAAGAGTTCTAAGAGACACTCGGCCCAGCTGGACCACAACATCCAGATCACGCCTCTTGTCACGATAGAGTCTGAGTCGATGCGTCCCGGTAGCCGCGAATCGCTGCGAACGTTCCAGACCGAGTCGAGTGCACAGCACGGCGGTGTATCGTTGCTGCCGCGCCTCCCGTTTGAGCGGAGAGGCTCAGACCGCCGCTCAGATCAACGACCTTCTTCAAAATCGTCGCTCGACTTTCCAGACCTGAGAAACATAGACTCGGCAGCACACGATGACGATGCGGCCGGGTTCGGAACAGTTTCTCAACACAGTATCAGCCGAATTGATCCGCACCATGCCGACGATGGCATGCTCAGCACTGCTGCGTCTGTCGTAGACGATGCACATTCGCATTCCGGGAAAGAGATTTGATCCCAAGAGACAGGGCCTGCTATGGGCGACCCATGTGGACAAACCAGTCCCGAATGCGAGAAAAGAAGGAGAGAATGAAAAAGAAGCAAACTTGTAATAATGATTGGTTCAATCGTCTGCAAGGTTATGAACGGCTCAACAACAGCGATTCATCCCGCTTTAGCAAGCTTTAGCGTGTCTGGCTGCTTTTTATTTCAGTATTTCCTCTTTTCCTCCTTTTCATTTTTTCTCTGTTCTTTCTCTTTCATGGCTTCAATTTCCTTACTACCCTCCTTGGTTTAATTTAATCTTTCCTATCGGTATAGAGTCATATGGACATGTCCCAGCGAGATACACGAAAGCTTAGCGGGATGGAACGACGGGATTAATCCCTATTTCTCATTTCCTTTTTCCTCATTTCCTCTTTTTCCTTTTTGTCAAATGGCCAAGGTTGATACAGAAAAATAGTTTCGGGATCTGATTAAGGGGTGGTGCTTTTATGGTAGCTGGCGTTTTCTTTCCCTTACCCTCCTTTTTTTTCCAATTCGGTATTGTAAGAGAGAGGGGCGGGATGGTTTTTTTTCCCCTTTACTTGTCTTTTGGGATGCAAGGGATGGATTTTGGGAGTGGGCTATCTATATGCGTATGTGTGGATAGGATCATGAGCGTTACTTGAATGGCCTGGAGGAAGGGGAAGATGAACGTGTAATTAATAGTAGGCCGTGGTGGATGCAACCTGGCCAGATATAAGTTGATCTTGTTGAGGATGATTATGCTTGTTGGCAGTTGAGATGTGAGGTTCTGTTTGCTGTTTTGTCTTGAATAACGAGTCGTGCGTAGTCATGGAAACACGTTTACTTTTAGGAAGAAGGCCGATGGCTGTGAACTTGCGGTGAAGCAAATTGCCGCCAACCAACTGAGCAATTCTCATCAAATGTGTTTCAGCCAATTTTTCCCTTTTCGTCTTCTCGCTCGCTTTACTAGATTTGAAATAACTTATTGGACGTATAAGTGCACCAGCTGACCTGCCCAAAATAGGTATCCAAGCAAGGCGATTTAAAGCCGCTTTTTGGACCCCAGTCAAGCAAGTCAAGCTTCTTTTCTTTCCCAGCCCCTCTTACATTGTACATACATGTCACAAATGATAAAAAGTCTCATGAAAACCTAGAGAGTAAGCGAGAGGACTCGGGAATCGGGGCTTGGCCGCGGTTTCCAGATGAAGCTGATCAACGTGCACAACCTGAAGCTGGAGGAACATGTCGGCAACGAGATGCCGCCGTACGCCATCCTGTCGCACACTTGGGGCGCCGAAGAGGTGACGCTGCAGGAGTGGGTGAAGACGCCGCGGCCGACGCACAAGGCTGGGTTTCGCAAGATTCTGAATGCGACGCGCCAGGCTGAGCTGGATGGCCTGGATTATCTGTGGGTTGATACGAATTGCATCGATAAGACGAGCAGCGCGGAGCTTTCCGAGAATATCAACTCCATGTTTGCGTATTATAGCCGGGCGGCGGTTTGTTATGTTCATCTCGAGGACGTGTGTTGGACGAAGCCGGTTGACGCGGAACCATGGCAGTTGCGTGATCAGCTGCAGGATAGTCGGTGGTTTACGAGGGGATGGACGCTTCAGGAGCTTCTCGCGCCGAGGGACGTCATCTTCTTCGCCGAGCCGTGGGAGCGGCTCGGGACCAAGCTGGGGCTGTTGGGGTTGCTGGCCGACATCACGGGCATCGAAGAGAAGTTTCTCAGAGAGCCGAAGCAGATCCCGCACGCCGCGAGTGTTGCGAAGCGCATGTCGTGGGCGTCGAGGAGGCAGACGACGCGGCCCGAAGACATGGCGTACTGCCTGTTGGGGCTCTTTGGCATCAACCTGCCTCTGCTCTACGGCGAGGGCTGGAAGGCGTTCCTGCGGCTCCAGGAGGAGATTATCAAGGCGTACAACGACCAGTCCATCTTCTGCTGGTGCTACATCGACGCCCCCGTTGGCTGGCACAGCTTCCTCGCCCCGAGTCCGCGGTCGTTTGCGGATTCGGCCGACTTTGCCAGCTTCCGAGGGGATCCTGACACGACGGTTCAGCCGTATACGATTACCAACGCGGGACTCTCCATGACGCTGCCTTCGGTTTACACGTGCGACGGGAGGATTGTCGTGCTCGATGTAGTGCATAATCACATCGATCCCTGGGGCAGCCAACGAGTCGGAATCCCCGTCACTTGGACGCAGGGACTCGGCTGCTACCGTCGCCTGGAACGTCCTCGACGCCCGGTACTCATCGCCACCGCCATGATCGAGCACAATCCCAGGGAGAATCTCTGCTTTTACTGCAAATCGCTCGTCCAAGCCGACGCCGCCACGGGCTTCTACGACGCCTGGCTCGAGGAGGGCTACTCTCTCCTCCTGACATTCGACATGCCCGTGCGGATAGAGTGGACAAACGACCGGCGATCGGACCCAGGCTACCAAGACTCGACGGAAAACTTTGACTTCCAAGCACACCTGAGCTGCGTCCGCGTAGAACACGACATGCGCGTGCGAAGCACCCAGCACAGAATCATCGTCTTCTCCCACCTCCAAGACTCCAAACAATACGCCGCCCTCTTCATCACCGTCATCAGAATGTCCAAGAAAGAAGGCGGCGGCGTCATCTGGTACGCCGAAGTCATCCCCCTCCACGTCCACGCCCGCCCAACCACCCGCGCAAGACCCATCATCGACTTCGAATCCCTCGTCATCGACACCCTCCAAGGCCTCACGGGCAAAAACCTCGGCGGCAAGCCCATGCGAGGACGCGTCACCAACACGGGCCACATCTCCGAAACCAGCGCCGAGCTCAGCCGCCACTTCCCCAAGCCCATCCTCGGCGCCGGCATCTCCGTCATGCACCGAAAGGCGGCGACGAACAACTACAGCAACAACAGCAGCAGCAGCAGCAGCAAGAGGAGCCCGTTCTGGGCGGACACGCAGCGCGCGTTGCATGTGATACTGAATGACGAGGTCAACTACATGGAGATTTACTGGCAGATTCGGGCGAGCCCGGCGCCTGCCGACTCGACGCCCTGGATGCCGTCGTATGCCGGCATCGAGGAGAACCGGAAGATGATACACGGGGTTGTGCTGAGGAAGAAGCAGCGGCAGTTGTCTGCAAAACGAGGCGTCATGGAGTTTTGGGACTAAAACGTCCGACAGCATTGAGATGGGGAAAAGACGATATAGATGGATGTATACATGGTCCCGGCCTCGACACGAGGATCTGGTTGGAAAAGTAAACCTAATCGCCATCATGTAGATACCCATGTAGATATGGGGGGACCTTGTAAGCAATAGAACCAAAAGGGGCGCTGTGAACCCTGAATAAAGTAAATAGCCATATACAAACGCAGAGGTCATAGCACCTTGGTAATCATCCAGCCAGCTTCATCTTTTCCAGCAGTTTCCCACCCTGCATCTAAGCAATACCAAATTGTAGAAAAAGCTCGCTCTATTTAACGTTCAGAAAACCGACTCCTGACCGCGCCTTCTGAACGGCCCGCTTCAACGCCTGTTCCTCCACGTCCGTCCACTTGACGCTCAGTTCATCCCACTTCTTGCCCGGCGTGTTGTACTCCTTGCGCCACTGAGCGTGCATGTGCTGCAGCTGGGCCATCCTGCGCGGATCACCAGAGCCGCTGTAGATGATGAAGGCGGTGCAAGGCGGAAGAGCCTCGTAGATGCGAACGAGGCGCTCCGTGAGCCGGGCGAGGGCCTGCTCTAGGGGAGAGGAGCCCTCGGATGCAGCATCAACCCCGACGACTTCGGACCCGGCGTCCACGTCCGTGCCGGGGGCATTCTTATTCCACCATCCCTGCAGGGCTTCCAGCTCGCGCATCCGGCCCCAGACAAAGTCCACTCCGCCGCCCCGGATGACTGCACCATCTTCATCACCGAGGACAGCTCGGATGACGTTCGTCGTCACGTCCTCGTCGGACCTGCACCCGAGCTGGTGCGTGGCTCCCGCCCCGAGACCCTTGGAAGGGTCACCCCAGTCAACGGCAGCGCTGGTCTTGCCAACCTCGACGCCGCCGAGAGCAGCGTCTCCTCCCTGGGCTTTATAAGCTGTTCCGGCGCGTGCCAGTCTGCGGAACAGATTCTCCCCTTGCGCATCTGACGAGCCCCACAGCTTTCCCTTCTCACACTTCTGCTTCACGAGGTCCAGGCAAGTTTTGGCGTCTTCGATGCTGTTGTGGCCCAGAACGTCGCCTTTTTGGATTTCTCGCGACAGGTACTTTTGAGCGAGCCATTTGAGCGACGACTTTAGCGGAGGGCCGCGAGGATGAGGGTATATAATAGAAGTGTCAACGATGAAAGGATGAGCAATCCGCAAAGCCTTGGTGTCGGATTCGAGGGAGTGGCCCACTAGAATGGTGCGTGGAGTCAAAAGTTCAAGGAGCTTCTCCTGTATGTCGCGGAGCGTAGTCGTCACGGGTGCCAGCATCTCCTCCGTGATGCCGGAAAACCGCGTCACGTAGTCGGTGATGGGCTTGTCGGGTTTCACCAGCTCATCCAGCACGACATTTCCATCCCAGTCGATGAGACTGATGCGAGTCAGCGAAAACTCGCTCTCGCCCGTCATGCACATTTCGCAGTCAACCGCCAAGATCTCCCTGCCAGCCGTAATGCTGCCCTGCTGGATTTCGGTCTCGGGAACATCGCCATCTTCCAGCTTGTCTACCCTTGTGATGGCATATCCTTCTGGGGCGACAAAGTTGTCTCGTCGTGGCCCTTCTGCAAGGAGAGCCGGATGAATGACGTAGCCATTGTCCGTTAGTTCATCGGCAGAAGCTAGAAACTCTGTGATGCGCGTCCTCTCATTCTTCCATCCATGGGGCTCTTTCGCGGGCTTCACGCCCCCTTTCTGCGAAGTCTTCTCCTTTGGCGCGGGGGCAGTGAGGAAGGCGGCCAAAGGCGAGTGCATTTTCCCATGTTTGTCGTCACCGGGTGTTTTGACGGGCCAGAGATGGGGGAACATGTCGGCGAACGGCTTCAGTGGCTCTGGCAGCGTGTCCTTGTCGAGTTTGCGGGGATAGTATGCGTCTGGGGAGCCATAAGGGTGAGCGTCTTTATCCGCATTTCCCTGGCTGCCTCGGCCCACATTCGCATCTCTGAGGTCATTGAAACTTGCGTAGTCAACGTCTGCCTTGAAGAGCGCCTCTTCGAGACCAGGCACCATGATGGCCACAATCTTTCTGAACTGCGGCCGGTGAGTGACTGAGATCCACTGGGGGCCGGTACCGTCGGCAAAGATGTAGGTGATGAGGTCGCGCAAGTTGTTAAGGCTGAGCATGGACTGGAGCCGAGCGCTGGGTGAAAAATTCAGGCCAGGGTATCCTCCCTTGCCCGGACGAGGCACCTTCTTCGCCTTCTTCTTGGGTCTGGTGACGGTTTGCCACTCTCCCTGGCTATCTGGGTTCTCGTCTTCATCATGAGGGCTAGGTCTTTTAAGGCTGCTTTCACTCTGGTCGAGAGAGGCTGTCTCAGCAACGGCGATATCGTCAGTGACGGCGTCGTCAGTCATATTGAAGTTTTTTTTTTTTGGGTGCTTGAGGGTCCTGATAGCAAAATCCGTAAACAATCCGACAAGGTGATGTATCGACAAAATCTGGTTAATCCTCTGAATTCGTAAGAAAAGAAGCGCCTTGAATGCTGAAAATAAACAAATACTGCCAAAATGGGGCAGAGTGTATCTCAGATAGATGTGTTGCTGGGGCAGAGGAAAGACGAGAGTGCCCACAAAAGAGATGAAGCCTGTTGCTATATTCTCTCCGTAAGCGCCATCCGGTGTAATCAATGATCTCGGGCAAAATGAGGCCCAAAGGCGCTCAGTATAGAGAAGTAATAATAATACAATGGTGAAGATGTTTTGTTTAGGCCAACTGCCATACAGTTTCTGGCAGGCGGATTTCTCAAGGTTGCTGGGCTTATCTTATCGCAGCCCCGTAGGCGGCTTTTAGGCCAATCACAGGCCACTCGCAGCGCCCGGGATTCGCTGTAGCCTCGCGGCTCCTTCAACGCGACCGCTGGACCTTTTGTTTGGGTTGGTTTGACTGCTATTTATGATTCATTATTCATTATTCGCCCTCTGATGGACAAACGTACAATGAAGTGAGACGCGCAATTCGGCTTTTCTCATATTGATTGACGCATCTTGTTTACCAACTGTCCGATAGAGCTCAATTGCCTAAGCCAATGCGTCCAAACCTCGTAAAATAACATCATCTCCTCCTCATTCACGTTCTGTCTCTCATCAGGGAACCTCATACAAAACCGCAGAACAATGGATCAAGTCGCCGTGAGATGTGCCAAATGTGGCTCCGAGCTGGGAATTCTGGTCAATCTATGGACGCAGATAGGCAAGAAATACATCACACCAGTAACCCACGTGGAGGACAAGAACGAGGCGGACAAGATCACTACAACAGGTGCGATTCGAATTGGTGATGCGGACACTATAGTCGAGGGCTGGTATGAATGTTCTTTGCCAGTCATGTGTCTTGTTTCGTAAATTACCTTCGCTGACGATGGAATGCCTCTCGAACAGTGAGCTTCGAGATGCCGAGTGTTCATCGTGCCATACAAACATGGGCCAGAAATGCTTGTCAAGTCCTTCAAACCACATACTTTCGAGGTAATCGTTCCTCCTGGCCAATCGCACCAACCCCATGCTAAGTAGTGTAGCGGCCAAATCATCTTTCGTCTTGCGTCCATATCACTTAAAGTCGCGTCAGATCTCCGTCGCAAAGCTGAACCCAAGATACAGCGCGCCCTCAATCTCAGGATTAAACCAGCCGCAGCTCAAGGAAAACCCTCACATCTGAATGGCGAGGCTGCCCATCGAAATGAACCCTCTCCAAGCAGGGATAGGTTCGACATCATGCAGATCCAGACAGATCTCGAGGCTCAGCAAGACGAGATCCAGCGGATCGGCGCAGCTGGATTCCAAGTCATATCGACGCTGAACAGCACAGTCGCACGCTTCGAAAAGCAGATGCGGGAGCTGAGCGACTCCGTTGCCAGTGTCCGCAAAGATGGAGAAGGACAACAGGCCGACATCAAGTCTCTCAAAACCCAAATGAGTGACGCCAAGCGGAATGGCGACAGCGACGCCGTGATTGCTCGTCTGGATAAGCAGCTCCAAACGACGGACAGAGTGGTCTCTGAACTTCGGCAAATTATTCAGAAATCCAAGATAGAGGCTACGACTCTCCGGCTTGATCTGGCAACTGCGCACAAGGAGATTGCAGAAGTGAAGAGGACAAATGAACGTCTCAAAGAGAATGTCGCCGAAGCAAAGGAAGTAGCGCAGGAAGGCATCGCCACGTCCAAGCTGTATGCTTCGGAGGTGGCATCGTTGAGGCGGGAGATTGCACAGCTACGGTCTGAGCTTGGACAAGAAAACACACACCACTCTTCGATGGGCGAGGACCCTTCCATTACATCGCATCAGCTGGACATCCTTGCCAGTAACATATCCAAGATTGGCAACAGGGCCAGCCAGGTCGAATCTCTGCAGATGGAGTTTGACCTCTTCAGAACTCGAATACAACGGCTAGAGGCTCGAGTGGTTGGTGGCACGCCCAATCCCAGCCGAAAGGACGTTCGTGCTTCTCGGGCAGAGTACGCCTCCGCGGCTGAGCAGGACAACCAGTCTCACTACGGATCAACTACGCGCAAGAAGCGGCCGCCAGCGACTGGTGACGAGAACCACATTCTCAAGTCAACTCCTCCGAAACGGGTGGCCCTCTCATCGGACTATCCCAGCCTTGCTACCGTTGGCTATGTTAGCACCAGCGAGCATCGACAGTCATCGCCGGGGGGCATGGATTTGATAGAGACGCCTGTCCAACGGCGGACTACAGCAGCATCGACTAACAAGAGTTCTGCAAAACGCGGTAGATGGGGAGCAAAAGGCTAAGCGAAAGTTGCTTTGGTGGGAATTATCGATCAGCTAATATGTATGCGGATATGAACGACCTTATTCAAGGAGCAGAAATCTCAAAATCCCGCCTCAAGATTTCCCTTCCCAGACCGGCCAGGGTATTCACTTGCTCAACGACAGCAAACTCGAAGAAAGCTTGAGACTTTTCGCTCTTGGGATCTTGCCGCCACTCATCAATCAAGGAAGTTTCCTTCTCTCTGCCCGCCAGCTTCTCAATATCCTCTAGAAGCGTCTGTGCTTTGCCAACGAGACTCAGCTCTGCGCCATATTTTTCTGGGGAATGTCTGAGAATCATGATGAGAAGCATCTGGCATAACGAAACCTGATCAATCTCGCGCAACGCCTCCTCGACTTTCTGCTCCAGCGTCGCCTTCTTGGACACGGGTGTAGCCGAGTTTGCCAGAAAGGCCGTTGCCGCGGCGGTGTGAGTAGTCAGGTTTGCTACAGCGAACAAACCGGCCAGCCGAACGGGATGATGCGGCGAGACATGCTGGTAGGGATCACAAGCTGTCGCGATGAAACAAGCCACCGCCAGGGCAAAAACAAAGTTTTCTTCCTCGCCGTACAACATGGATATTCTAAAGAGAATGTCCGGGAGCGGCGTGACGGCCCATAGCTCCTCTTCAACTAGAGCCTTGTTCTTGTTGTACTCGCTTTTTAGTAGCTTACGCCGTTCTGACGGTGACTCGATTGTTGCCAATGCGCTCGAGATATGGTCGGCCGTCTCGCCATGCCGATTGATGATGGTTTGTTTGCTGGGACTGGTGGCTGCAGGATGCTTGCGAAACTTTGAGACATCTGGTACGAGACTCTGGTTGTTGAGATTGACGTTGGGGGAGATGGCTGCGACTTGATAGACGTTGAGGTTATCCCGGCAACGAAGGCAATTGCAAACAAACTTGTAGTGAGCCAGTGCTTCTCTTCGTTTGACTAGAGGATCCGTGTAGACTAGATGATGGGTATTCAACCAATGGTCAGTGTGTATAAAATAGATAGATTTACACTGAAAATACAAGAGCCGTCTATGAATACGGGGACACTTACACGTATAAGCCAGCTCAATCTCATCCCCAGCTCGAATCGGGTTTTCAGCGACGAGAAGGGCATTTCGCCCAATGAACTGAACTGCCGCGTTAGGAATGCAGGAATGGTTCGCCATGGCTAGAGTCGGCTCCAAGAACAGTCCAACAACCCCCAAGTCGGTATCGAATCTCTGAAAAGAGTTGTTTTGAATCTAGACGTCATCCGTCAGCATCCTGATTTCTTGTTCCATCTTCCCAGCCGATGACCAACCTTGCACAACATCTCAACCGCCCTCCGCACAATCCCCTCCCCCGTGCCCATCCCCGAAAACGCACACGCCGCCATCGCCATCATCTCAACATCCCTCCATTCACCCCCCTCGGCCTTCTTCTCCAACACATGCCCCTCCAGGTCCCTCAACCCGTCCCCAATCTCCCCACACAGCAAAGCCTGGATGAGCGCCCTCGTCGGCGTCGGCAACCGCCTCCTTCGGTCCTCGTCCTTGATCCCCTGCCGGAGCGCCTTGCATTCGCGCGAATGAACCGCCTTCCAGGCCGCGGCTTGGCACGTCGCGTCGCAGTACGACGCCGCGTGGCAGCGCGAGCAGGCCCGGGGATTGCCGGGGCGGAGACAGAACGAGCAGACGCTGCTGAGGTACGAGATGGTGGGCAGCAGGAGGAGCGGCGTGAAGGGGGAGATGACGGTGCCTGGGGGGAAGGATTTTGTGGCGTAGAGGCCGCGGCCTTTGGAGGGGTGAGGCCGGATTTCGAGGGGTGAGGGAGAAGACATGCTTTGCTTCTTTTTTTATGAGTTGCGAGGCATTTGAAATGATGGAGTTTAAGCTGAGAGTTTGTGGGTTTCTAGCGCTGTTGTTTGAGATGATGTTGATTTGGGGGGGGGAAAAAGTCCAAGGTTGAGGTGAGCTTTGGAGGGGCAAATCTTGAAAAGGTGGGTTGGCGATGGCTCATGCTGGACCAGCCAAACACGGTATCAGCAGACACAGAAATCTGGTAAAGATGATGTGTTCTCTCTTTTCCTTTAAATAATGGTAGTTGTTAAAGAATACAAATAAAATTTCAATGGGTATCTCTATCCGACTACTAGGCACCTGTAGTAGTCCTCTATATATATACATGTATACTATAACCAACACGATGAAACCTCTCTCTATAGCTCGCCATGGTTGGGTAGCTTGCCATTCGCCTTTCGCGCACTCGCCAGTCTCTTTCGCAGCTCCTTGCTCCAAGGCGTACCATGCAATCTCACCATCATCTCCGCGTGATAGTCCCAGCAGCCGTCCTCCAGAGACGTCTCCGGCACCACGCACACCTCCTTGCTTAATGCCTGGCCTCTGGGCCACTGGCCAAGCTGGGCGCCCATGTCCTCGTCCAAAAAAGTGTCGAGAACCAGCTGCCCAATCTTTCGCTGCGCTCCAGCCCACTCGGCCTTCTCCTGGAAGAGAATTGGCAACAGCTGCTTCATGCCGTTGTTTTCCAAAAAGTGCTTCCTAATCTGCTCGTCCTTGATGAGTCCGTTGATGGCGGAAACGGCGGCCTTGACCTTTGCTGGAGAATCAGCAGGCGAGATTGTGTGATGGTAGAAAAGCTCGTGGATTGTAGCGCCTTCGTGAGGGCATTTTGAGTCCATGAGCTCTGTCCAAATCTTGGCAATCTCGTTGAGTGCCGAAGGATTGTTAGAAAGGGCACCGGCGAGAATGGCCGCCGCTTGTTGGCCTCGCGGAGTGGCCCCTTGAGAGACTTGGCCTTCAGGAGTTCCCATCAAGCAGAAAAGTGCCTTTACCACGTCTGTTTCCTCGGTGATTTTGAGTCCGTAGTAGATGTCATGAGACAGCTCTTCCAGTCCTTCCAGACCGTGATCAAACTCCTCATCGCTCGGGATTACACCGGTCTTGAGCATTTCAAAGGTCTCCATAAAGGCAATAGCTTCCACTTGAGCCTCTCCCCCGGGCGCAGGCTCCTTGATCTTGCCAACATTGTTGTATTTCGGGGCGCCCTTGGGTACTTGGATCGTCTCTTGCTGCTCCTGGTCGACGAGAACCACAGCTTGATCGACAGGTAATCCTTCCAGGGCAGGGTTGATCTCGTCAGGTACGTTGATCTTGGCTTCTTTCTTGCCAGTCCAGATATTCAAGCGAACATGAAGTCCGTTTGGTAGCTGCTGGTCATCGTGAACAGTCTGGAACTCATCTGTCGGCACAAACACTCGAGGGTAACACTCTTCCGGATTTGATGTGTGACAGATCAAATCTGACTTGTCTGAGCCCGCCTTGGGGGAATGCTGAGATGCTGATGCCGATGCCGGAACTGCTAAACAAAACAGCAAACCCAAAATGAGGGCAATGATGATGGGCAACGGCCTGCCTTTGGAGCGAATTGAAGGCATTGTTTTTTGAGGGAGAAAGAAGTGAATGAATGAATGAAAAGGTCAAGTCCACTCAAAGAGTGTAATTGCGTATCCAGATATGTCTATCCAATGGTGTAGACTTCGAATGATCCCGGCAAGCTGATGAGTGGGAACGGCACTTGTTGCATACACAATATCGCAACGCTACCAGCCTAACGTTTCAACGGATATACGAAAAGAAGCTGTTTTTATAGAAAAACAAATTACAATCTCATCATAAGAGAGTGAATGAAGAGTTCTTTAAATGAGTCAACTCGATGAAAAGGACACCTAAGAACATGGGCTAGGTGGACCTAAAAAAAGTTCAAAGGTTGTAAGACGAGCCGCAAAAGCTGTCACTGCCAGAGGCGAAATCTGGCATTCTGAATCTTGGCGATGCCTGATTGGCGGAGACGGTGACTCAGCAGCCAACATGGAAGCCCGAAGAAGCAGTCTTTTACCACTGAATTACAGCAGCAAAATTGGGTGTTTGTCATTGCAGCGGTTTGATTTTGGCTTGTTACAGCGCAGATGTTTCCATTGTAGGCCTATGCGAGGAGGGAAAGCTGAAATGAAGAACGCTGCTGTTCATTGTCTGCTCAGTGGACTTTGTTCGATGTGCAATGCAGGCTAGTACGATACGCTTTCGGAAAGTATCCAGTTCAGCTCAATAGGGCTGGACATGACATGAGCCTCCAGATACCCATTCATCAGCAACTTGGAGGAGATGCTGACAATCTCCTCTTAAGCAGATAATTGACATACTTTAACTGCATGAATATGTATTTAAGCTTTTTTTTTTTTTTTTTTTTTTTTTAATTTTTATCTTGTATTCCCATGCTTTATCCGTATCAGCGCACGTTTTCCCCGTCTGTGCATGTTGGAGGATCTTCTGGAATGGCCCCGTGTCTCAGATCCCCAGCATCTGCTTCATGCCAAACCTGAATTCAGAACACAAGCCGTAACATGGCTGTTTGCGATGCCAGTCGGATGCGTCGCTAGCTCATTTTCAAATTCACAAAAGAGGCTGGCCAGCACCACGACGAATAAAATATAAAGCAAAGTCCCTCTCTTGGGAGGCTCGCAAATATTCTGTTCCTTGACATTACTAAACCTCTTGTCCTCGGATTGCGATTGCAAGTGACACAACCCAAGGGAACGTCTGTCTAACTGAAAAAAATGCTGTCACTAATCCTCGTCTTCTTCTACCTCTTATTCTGCTCGATATTTGGCGTCTACGCCATGCCAGCTGGCAAGGCTGGGTCCCATCATTTCAAGAGACTCGAGCATCTCCACATGCGTGTCCACAGCCTTCGCCTCTCTCGGCCTATCAATGTCAAGATGGACGAGCCAGTGCAGAGTCCAGGGAGCTGGTCGGAGAGCCGGCTTGAAGAAGGCCTGCTTTACAAGGACGTCGAATCAGAAGAAGAAGTCTTGCTAGAGAGCTTTCCCGACGAGCTGTCGGTATCTTAGGCTCAGCATCGTGCATCGATTGATACCTAGTGGGAGGACCAAATGCACTTTGGGATTCATGTTGGTTCATGGAGTTATGAAGTATCTATTAATGACATCAAGGACCATTGCATCGGCGTTTTCATGTTTCATAATTTTTACACACAAGACGGATGGATATTTACCATCCAGGGTTATTAACAAAGGGATCAACCCATCTCATTTACAGTATGAGCATGTACGACTTACAGCGGGAGCTGCATGTGGCAAAATAATTGTCGACGAAGCCATCCATGAGATTTCACACTGTGCCCGTTACCTAATGCGGCACCACAGCATTCCCGCACAGCGCCGCCCAGTAGAAATCTTTCGTTCGTCCTTTTCGCAGGTCGTCAAGACAGTTGCCGACGCAAAACATCGCACGGCCCAGCCCTTTCTCGCAAACTCCGTGGCACAGCATGCGCTCCAATGAATTGAATGGGTCCCCGGTATTGATCGATTAGGTCACGCGTTTCTCCTTTCTTTGAAGCTTTCTTGCGGACTTTGTTAAGAAGAAGAAGAAGAAGAAAAAAACAAGAGCTTTGTGTCACGAGCTGGAAGCAGCTCTTACGAAATAGACAACAAGAACCATCTTTAGGGCCCATTGAGGCGTCAATCCAACGTCAAATCTCCCTCCCTTTTTCGTCGTCGCAGCTACCTACGAAGAAGCTCGTTCACGCTACACTTCCTTGACGAACCGAGCTTGCCTTGCGACCAAGACGGATCCTCCTCCGAATGCTACTCTAGAGCTTTGCCTCTTCGTCAAGCGCTCTCCTCGCCATCGTACCACAGAAGAGCGCGCGCGCGCGTCAACAACTTACACAAACCTCCCCGTCAAGATGCCTTCGCCGCGACGGATGCGCCTCCTGATGGTGGCGGTCGTCATCACCGTCGTCGTCATGCTCTTCTACAGCTCGGGCATGGAGCCAGAAGCCGACGCCGCCCTCAAGGGCTTCTACGAGAAAACAAAAGAGGCCATGGAGCGAGGGACGGCGCGCGGGCAGGCAGTCATCAATTCCCAGACGGGCCAGAGGGCGGGGCACATTCCCGCCGACAGGGACGGCGACGGCGACATTGACGACGACGACAGGGTGGCTTCGCAGGAGCTGCAGGAGCGGCTGCAGGCCGTTGCGCAGGAGGCAAAGGACAAGGCCAACGAGAAGAGCCCGAAGCCGGACATCCCCAGCAGGATCGTGGGCGTGGGCAGCTCGGCCGAAGGACAGGCGAAGAAGGGCCAGGTCAAGGTGGGCGGTGGCAGTGATGTAGGGGACAGGGTCAAGACGGATGTGACCAAGGAAGAGACAAGGGAAGAGCACGAGGCCGAGGTCGAGATCAACAGCATCTTGAAGAAGTCACCCGGTAAGCTTTGTCGCGATAGATTTCCCCCCCTAGCTTACTCTCGTTTGGCTAACGTATCGTCTGCAGTCATCATCTTCTCCAAGAGCTACTGCCCCTACTCGAAGCGCGCCAAGGGAATTCTCCTGGAAAAGTACAGCATCACTCCGGAGCCGTTTGTCGTGGAGCTGGACGAGCACCCGCTCGGCCCCCATCTCCAGGACTATCTCCTGAAGAAGACGGGGCGCAGAACCGTGCCCAACATCCTGATCAACGGGGTGAGCATTGGCGGCTCCGACGACATTGTTGCGCTAGACAACGAGGACAAGCTGGTTGGCAAGGTGCGCGATCTGGGCCAGGCTCGCATAGAGATTAGCCCGCGCTTCACCAAGGGCGAGCATCAGTGAGAATGATGTGTAATCAGAGAGGGCTGATCCCCCTTTGTCTTGTAATCTTCTTCTTCTTTCTTCTACCTCTACCTGTACCTGTACTCGTGCTTGGCCTTTTCTCGCTCGAGCCAAGGGCTTCTGCGAGATCTGTGGCTCGCAGCTAATGTGTTGATTCTCTTGGGGTGTGTGTGGGCATCAGGGGCCGATGGTTTTTGAATGGCTGGTGTGCAGATGCCAAGTACTGACTGTACGCATGAATGGAGTTTTGGCGTTTGTTTTTTCTGGCCCTGTTACAAGTACCTCGTAACGTAGGTACCTGTAGTATAGTAGGCACAGGTAATATTTAGTTATCTCGGGATGCTTAGTATGGGATTTGATTGCAGGGAATAGGAATGAAGGCTCTGAAATGCTTGTCTAGAAAGACAATCAAGGAGAGGGGGGGGAGGACGAGAGATGGATGTGAAGCCCAGCTCAGCACATCATGCAGCTACTTCAATTCGAAAACCTGCAATATCCGGCAGCCTTAATCTAGACTTGCTTATTGATCATCCTGAGCGCACAAATCCGCTGGGCGGAATCAAAGGAATCAAAAATAAAGACGATGAAAAGCGCAGTGTGCCTGGTCGTCCCGTATCTCTCGAGTACATACAAGCCCGAGATAGCGCCCTATCTTGCATCTGCTAGCGAAGCATCAGCGGCGGTTAATATCAACGGGATTAGGATTGGAAATTGGAAGCGAAAAGATGCAGATTCACGGCAACATGCAGGCATCGCCCTGATCGATCGTGTCATTGTCGTTGGAATCATTCATTCAACGCCCTGTGTAAATCGCGCATCCCAACACCGTCATCCTGTCCTTTTTTTCTCTCTCTTGTTTCTTCCCTCTCAACCCCCCCCTCATCGAAACCCTCGGGCAACACACACACGCTGACGATTTGATTTCTCTTACATGCCATACCATACATGTACCTTTACCTTTACCGCAATCAATTTACCCAGGCCCCCAAAAAACGCCACGATGCGCCAAAAGCCAGCGCTGGTCGCTCGTTCTAGCCCCGCCCGACGCTATGCCATCATTGACGGGCTGTTATCAAGAAGCGGTACTGGGCATGATTCCCCCACTAAATGCAGGGATTGGTGCTGCAGCACTTCATGTTGGAGGCGCGTGAATGGCTGGAAGTTGCTTTTGGGGTTTATCAACGGGCTGGGGGGTGGGAGGTTTAGGCCCATCGAGGTTCAGGTTCAGGTTCGCTCAATGTGACAGTAGGTTGGATGCCGATTTGCTCAGCGGATTTGGGAGCACAAGCTGGCCATGGGGAAATTGGATGTCTTGACGCTGGATGCAGTTGAAGTCGTCAATATGCGAATGGATTCACTAGAAGAACAGAGGAGAAAAGAATCAGTCCAAACAGAGACCAGACCAGACCAGACGGCCACAAAAGGTGGCTCCTTGTGGCGTGCAGCATCAGCGCTTGTCCACGCTCTGCTCTGCTCTGCTCGCTACGAACATCCGTACTACGTACGTACAAGCACGAGAGAGTGTGAGAACAAACAGCCCAGTCAAAAATGCTCCCAGAAACCGGGGGAAAGCAGCAAAAAAAAAAAAAAAACCTGAAAAGCGTGGGGATGGGGGAACCCGGTAAGCCATCCATTGGACCTAGAAAAGCTGAAAGCCCGTCAATCCGATGCCCCCCCAGCCAGAAACTGGGATTCGAGACCGCAAAGCGACCACACCATCAACCCAAGCCAGCCAAAGCTGAGCCTAGGTACTATACCTTACCTTACCTTACATGTACGAGTACCAAAACAAACTCCGGGCACGGCAAGGTATAGCAGTACCTGTAGGTTATCTAAAGGTACATGTATTTTATCTCGCCCTCTCTCCTCTAGCCGGCTCGTTAGCCAGCCCAGCCTGGTTCAGGATTTCTGGCTGGATTGCAGCTTACAATAAGAAGAGCCTGGGCGCGCCACCCCCTCACGCCGTTTTCGCTTTCTTCTACTCTCTTTACGATTCCTTCAGTCCAATCCAATCCAAACCTATTCTCCCACTACATACCACAGCCTGTTTTTTTGGTTTCGTCCTTTTATTCTTTTCCCCCCCTCCATCACCCATTGGCCTCTCTGTCCTGCCCGTCTACGTTCGTCCATAGAGACAAAATAGAAAATACCACCCAAAAAGAAAAGGGACCCTCCCAATTTATTAGTGCCGTCACTCTCAGCTTTTCTCGATTACCCTTTTTTTTTTTTTCTTCGACACTAATACCGGACTCCTGTTACCCTCGGTCAAGGAGTGAACGGTGGACTCACCGACCCGCGGCCGCTTCTCATCCCCGAAGTCGCATCATCAAGCTGCAACCTTGCGTCAATTGGAACTACCACCGTGAACAAAGACCCAATATCACATAACCACACCTCGGCCCCATCCACACGTTACATTTTCGCATATAAAAAAAAAAGTAAAGATAAAGAGAAAGAAGAAAAAAAATGTCTGACGCACCCTCCTCCACCGTCTCCTCCGCCCTGCGCCGTCCCTCCACCAGCTCCGAAACGTCGTCCCTCTCCTCGGCCTCAACCGCCTACACCACTTACAAGGACAGAGAGGGCCAGCCGCTGCTGCTCGACGGCAGCATCAACGGCAGCATCAACGGCAACGTCCACGAGCGCAAGGCCAAGCGCGGCCTGCGCCAAAAGGCCCGCGACATGGTCCACGACATGGGCAGCCCGCCCACCGCCAGGCAGGACGCAAAGGACGGCAGGCCCACGCTCAACCACGCTCCCCTGGGCGGCATGGTGGGCGAGCCCGTGATGAGGCAGGGCAAGATTTAGAAGAAAATCACCTTGGGTTGCTTCTTGTTGCGGCGACAAGCGGTAGTGCGGTGCTGCCCAGCAAAATATGACGGAAATGAAATGCGAAAACGGTCTCGGCGTTGTTTTATTCTTCTTCTCGTGTTTGATGGTTCTCTCTGGTTTATATCTATCCGGTTTACCCTTTTCTTCTTTCTCTTTCCCTTGCCTTATTTATATATCAAATGTATTGCAACATTATCCTTGAATCTCTCACAGTTTGTTAGTCGGCGACTAAATCCATAACAAGAGAAGAAAAAGGGAAAAGCAACTCCTTACCTATGACGTTGATCCAAAAAAAATTCACATGCAGTATAACAAATCACTTTCGTACATATGATATGATATGCCACCGCAGAGAAAACTTAAGCGAGGAGATATTGTCCTTATTTCTTACACGTGCAGCCCCCAACCATGTGTCTCTCCTCCAATCCAAATGCTTGCAAGCAAAGTACTGTAAAAAAAGAAGAGAGAGAAAACCCGAATGTTTCCCCGAGATTTCATAGCCGTTGAGCGTTTCCCCCTAAAAAAGCACGCGTGCGTTATCCAGCGCCGCGACTCTATCCAAGAAACAAGATGGAAGAAAAAAAGTATACGAAAAAGAAAGAGAGTTTCCAACGTCTCTGTGTGTGGTGCCAATTTAACCCGCCTTCGTATGAACCCCCTAATGAAAGAAAAAAAAAAACAATGAAAAAGGAAATGAATATGTTAACCCGTTGAATCCAAAAGGGAAATCCTGTTTCTGGATTTCTACCCAACGCCCCTCCGTACCGTACCCCCAGTGTTTGCCTTTGGCCGACTCTGCGTGTCCAATGCCGCACGCTCCATTTGATATTCCGCCATAGGTGGGAGATTTTTGTTGTTACAATGCCTCGTTTAATTGAAAAAATTGCCGTTTCTTTATTCAGAAATCCCATGCTGTCCAGTTGGACTTGTTCATTCGACTGGAATGCTCGTGTCGCCTGAGAGAAAGTGCTCAATGGCATCCACGCCAACTTGCCTACAACACCGGTTAGAACCCAACTCACAACTCGGTATCGATTGGGGAAGGGGTAAGGATATGCGCAGCAACTCACGTAGTCAGCATCAGCCTCGTAAACTCATCCATGTCGTCCGGTCTCGCATACATCCAGAACTCCTTGAAACTGAGATCCGTGATGCAATACTGCGGCTTCTCGCGCCAGGCCCGGAAAAAGTCAACCGAGCATGTGGCCTCCCAGAGGTGCCGCGAGCTCGTGAAGCTATGGCCGTCTTCCCAGCAGTCGTTGGGCGCTGGTTCATCGTAACCGTTAATTGCCAGGCTCATCTGTGAGACTTGGTGTGAATACGTACCTTCTTCGGATTTCAGGACGAAAACGAGACACATTAACGCATAGGCAATCATAATGGTCCGCCTGGTGCTTTCAAGCATGATCCAGCTCTGTAGAGAGAAATCAAACAAGTTAGCATGTGCAATGAAGTAAACAAGAAGAAATAAACAAGACGGTGTAGATGTAACTCACCTCCCAGCTCTTTGGCGGCCTATCTCTCGAGATGAGAGTCGCTGCTGGCAAGCCCTCCTCCAGCTCATTTTTAACCACAACTAGATCCTTCACCCACGCCAGCATGACGCTCATCTCTCTCTCTGCCGCCGCCCTCATGCTCACATCCCCGTCAAAGATGCGCATCGAGTTGAGTAGCAAAAGTGCTTGCACTCTGGCCAGGCGGTCGGCGTGTGTAGTCGCCCTCTCGCCATCACGGTGGACCTCGCGCACTGCATCCAGCAGCACCTTGAGCGCCCAGCCCTTGGTATGCGCAGTGCGTGCCGAGTACGCCGAAGCGGCGGCGAATGTCGTGATGATGGTTTTGGGCAGCTGTGACATCCACAGGCGGGGGTGCATAAAGGGAGCCTCGCGACGCTGCGTGAAACCCGTGTACATCTCTGATATACTCTGGACAATGAAGCCAATCTTGCTGCGGGGGTCGTGCACCTGGAGAACGTCGGCGATGATGCACTGGTCCTCGTGCTGCAGAATAGAAAGATCGCGAACGGGTTGCTGCGGCTGCTGCTGCTGCTGCTGCGACTGGCCCGGCTGTGTATGCTGTGTCTGCAACGGCGGGATGACGGGAACCGGCGGGAGGTCCATCTTGCTGGTGCCGTCTCCAAAGCCGGTCAGGTCCCATAAGCTGCCGGGGCCCGCGGTGGCGCTCGCATTCATCAGGTCGACGATGGAGAAGCCCAGATCGGCGTGCTGGTGATGCTGAGACTCGCCGCCGAGCCCCAATCCCACGTCCTGCTGCTGGAGACTCTCGGGGCTCGTGTTTGTACCGGTTGCAGTGCCGAGGCTCTCCATGTCGAAGCTCATGTCGAATTCGGGGGGCATGTCGGGCGTAGTGCAGCTGCCCTCGACGGCGGAAGTACAAGACGACGATGCCGTTGCAGCGCTTGAGGCGATGGGTGGTGATTGGTGCTGATGCTGATGGTGTAGGAGGTTTTGCGACTGCGGCTGCGACTGTTGTTGTGATTGTTGTGACTGCTGCTGCTGTGACTGTTGCTGCTGCTGCTGAGCAAGAGGAGGAGGCTGACGCTGATAGACGCAGTCCAGGCCCTTTGTCGCACACCGGGTGCATCGTGGAGTTCGCTTGTCGCAGCGCCGTTTGCCTCTGACACAGGCGTTGCAGCTCTTCTGCCGCGACGCCGCGCCGCCATCGCCACCGATGCGGTCCAGCTTGCGCAGGCCAGAGCCGAGGCCGCTGAGCGGGCTGGTGTCTCCAGTAAAGGAGTCCATCGTCGACGGGGGCGGAGAGGCAAAAGTGTAGCTGTGCTGCTGAAGCTGCTCGAATTGGTCGAGCGATGTCATAGCACAAGCCAAGGGTCTCTGTTGCTGCAGGGGGAGCAGCGACGGAGAATCAATCGGGCGGGGTTTTCCAAGGAAAAAAAAAAGAAGAAGAAGAAAAAGATAATGTAATCGAGATGAAGATGCAAAGAAGAAACCAAAAAGAATCGCTGAAAAAAAAAAGAAACAGAATGATGAGTATGTAGAGGGCTGGGGTGTGTATAAGTTCTGGGGGGTGGTTTACGTGATGGTGAAAGGAGTTGAAAAAGAATCCGCGTCGGTGGGATGATAAGATACCGGAACCAAGGATTGCCAAGTTCGCAGCCACACTCGCCTGACTGACTCTTCGACCGCCTGCCGATTCGATCTGGCCTTCGTCAGCTGCGAGATTAAGAAGCGAGGCCTCAGACAAGACCCTAAAACGCAGGAGAACAACGGAGATTTGGCCCAATTGGAATTCGATTTCTCTGTCCCCAATGGCCTTTCGCATGACAAAACGGCCCAAACGTTCGTTCCAAAGTGACAAACTCCGGGCTGGAGCGCAGCCACCCGCCATCAAAGACCCCGAGGACCCGGGCCCAACTCCGCAACTCCGCTCCGCCAAAAGTCCGCAAGCTCCAGCCTCGTTCGCAGACACCGGACCAGCCCGCCCGGGTTTGTTTGTTGCTTGGCTGACGCATGTTTGCTGGAGGAGCTCTTTGATTCCTTCTTCACGGGAACGGGAACGGTATAAAGTTGGGTTCGGGTTGATGTCTGCGCCACCGGGCCTTGAGCCATCTAGGTATCTGCCTAGAATCCCTTCTTCCCATGACGCGGCCTGTAGTGGACGCATCAGGCAGAGATGCTGTATTACAAGTGAGATGCTACATGTAACAACGGTAATGACACGGTTTCTTCTCTTGGCCACACTTCTCAACGTCCTACAAGTATGCAGCGATATGGAGTCTGCGGCGGGTGATTGAATCGCCAATCGTTCGTTGCTCTAATCAAACAGCTTGGGCCACAATCACACAGACCTACCTTGTTTTTATGCGACATCACGGATGGCCCTGGTTGGAAATCAAAGTCAAAGACTAGGTGAAAGCATCTTGCGAAAGTCTGGTTTTAAAACGTCTCGTTACATAAATCAACATCCAGTGGCTCCTCCAGCAACATGCCGTACGGGTTGCCTTCAACATCGCCATCTGAGCTCAATGACGCACATTGCCAGTACTCTGAACGAGCGGCATGCCTCCCAGATTCCCTCCCCAAGCTTCATAGCAAATGGGTATATACCACCACCTCAGAACCAAGCATTTCTCTCCCTTTTATATGGACGTCCTTTGAGAATATTCCCCTCCCCCGTTCCACCGAATCCCTCATCCTGGCAGCCCAGCTGAGATTAGCTTTTGGTTTTCCGCCGCCATATTTGGCACAAGGTAAAAAATCAAAGAAACGCCTCCAACCAGAAGAAGTCCGGTGACAAAAACCACGAAGAGTCCAGTGGTTATGAAAATGAAAGAAAAAGAGAAGAAACGGGTAATAGAAAAGAAAAAAAGAGGAAAAGATGGAGGATCAAAGATCAAAGACAAGAGATCAGGTCCAAAGAAGGGGCGATCGGTGCGACTACTTTTTGAGAAAAAAGTGGCTAGTCTCCGCCGCAATTATACAACCGTCCTCGAGATGAAGACGTTAAGAACCAAGGTGAGAAGTGAAGAAACCCAAAAGCAAAGGTCTAATAAAACAAACAGTTTCAAGCCAAGGCTTCAAAACATTGGTCTGTTGGGGAATAAGGTTTTTTGGTGTTTCCATCCGGTATATCTAGTCGCAGAGTGTGCTGGGCTGTATGAAAGACGTCGTCATCCTCGTCGTTCTCTCTCTCTCTGCATATTCGTTCAATCATGTGGGTATGGGTGAATGACATGGAAGGCGTAGATGAGCATCATGGCGTTGAAGGCATAGATGAGTAGTATCGCGTCATGGCCTAGCGGCCTTGCGTGTTATCAAAGCAAGGCGGGGGGCCACCCAAGACGGTTCCCTAGTACCGGTCTTGTCGATATCCGTTGGCTCGCGGCGCTTCGTACTGAACACCCGTCATGGAATCCGGGCCGTTCGGGATGCCGTTGCTGATGGTCCGGAGAGGCGGCAGCTCGGTCCGGGGCGCGTTCGCATAAGGGTCGGATGAGTAAGGGGCCGCTTGGCCGGCGGGTCCCGGAGGCGGTGGCTGCTGGCCCATGTACTGGGAGCTCTCCATCCGCATTCCCGACAGCTCTCGCCGCAGCAGATCGTTCTCGGTCATTGCTTGGTTGTAGTGATTCTGGAGGACCCTGATGTGGTCAAGCTGTCTCTGGTGCTCGGCAATGGCTAGTGGCGGCTTTGTTAGTCTCTTGTAGAGGAGAGGGGAGAGAGAATACGCGCAAATTACGAACCTTTGGTGAGAATCTCCCACTTGGAGGCTTTGGATCCACGCTCCTGCGGCATCAAATCACGAAGCTGGTCAAACAGCTCCTTCATCTCCGTCCTTCGCTTCCGCTCCGCCAGCTTGTGGCTCACCCGCAGTTCGGGAGTCCTGCTGTAGGGCTGTGAACCCGTGGCACCGTTGCTCTCTTCGGCTTGAAGATCGCTCAGCTGCTTGTGCTGCATGGTATGGTGGTGTACGGGAGGGAACTCGGCCGAGTTCATGCGCGAAAACTCGGAGCCATCGTCGAGCCTGCGCTGACCCGGTGGCAGCCTCGACTCGGTAGTGAACTGGCTGCTAGCAATGGACTCGGTAACACTGCTGCGACGAGACACATCATACGACGAGTGGTTGTTAACAAGGTGGGCACTCGCTCTCGGATTGTCAACTCTTTGGATTTCTTCCTCGGGGAAAGCCCAGGCCTGACCCTTAGTCGGCTCGGCTGCACGGGCGATGAGCCCGGTTGTAGGGCCAGTAATCGTAGGAGCTGTTCTGCTGACTTTGGTGGGCTCTGGGTTTCGGTCAACGCTGGGCTGGTATCCATTGGAAATCCGGTGCGAAGCGAGAGCTTCGAAATTGGGCCTGGGGTTTCGTTGAGAGTGTAGAGTGTTTTGGATAGAGGACGAGGATTGGTTGTTGCTGGTGTAGCCAGAGCCACCGAGACGCATGTCACTGAAGCCCTGGTTGATTCTGCTATCGACGCTTTCACGCCGGCCACCTGCAACGGCAGCGAGCCCTTCTCCTAGGGTTGCCCCTGAGATGCTGGCCGTGTCCAGCGAAGTTGGTCGATCGAATCTTCGATCCACATTGGAGGGATTGGGGGAGACCATCGAGGCTACGCTCATGTTGCTCGCAGCTGGGGAAACGATGGCTTGGGGTAGCATGTTGGTGGCGACGGGAGAGGGTGTCTTGTCAACGGACGAATAACCAGATCCGGCTGGGCTGAGTCCAGTAACGGTAAATGATGCTGCTGAATTGTCTGTTCAGCGAATGGTGAGCAAAACAAGGAGAGGGAGGCGCTCTGGAATTTCAATCAGGGCAACATACGCTTACTCGACGTTTCGTGGGTAGAGTAGAATCCAGAATCGCGTAGCTGGGGAGCAGGCGCGGCGTGCGAAGGGGTTCGCTCGTCTCTGTTGAGGATGTTGGTGAGTCCAGCAGATTTGCTCGGCAGCATTCGCTGCTGTGTCTGCGCTTCCATTCTGGCCATGAACCGCCCTTGAAGACGATCGCGTAAGGAGTTTGTAGTCGAGCGTCGTAGCAGATAGGAAGCCTAGATATTTGCCGGCTGCTTATATCGAGCAAGGACGACAAGACTCGACGTGGAGGAGGATCGGCGACGCCGGCTTGAGGGAGTGGCAGGGCAAAGCTGATGGGACGGAAGCCGCACCGCCGTATCGAGTCGACGGGAAGGCCAATGTTGGGTTTCTCACGGTGGTGAGCAAACACGGGCAAGGAATTGGCGGGAATGCAGGCTCCTTGGCAAGCGAGCGCGAAGCGAAGCTCTCGCTCACAAGAAGAGGCGCGAGCGACACAAAGCAGACACGAGGGGCTAGAGGAAACTGTCGCCAGGCATGAGGTGGAAGACTGAGTGGCAGAGAATAGACTTGGTTGTGATAGAGGCTCAGAGGGGTATAAAGTAGAAGCTCTTGCATGAAATGGCGATGGGGGGAGGAGGGAGAAGAAGAAGAGACCCAAGGCAAGTTTTGGATGTGAGATTTTGGAATTGGACTTTTGGGGGAGGGGATCGGAGAAAAGCTTGGATAGGCGAGGTACTCTGCAAATGTAGGGGAAGGCCCAGGGAAAGTCTTGTACCAACCCGCAGGGCTTTCAGGGTGTGAGAAGAACGAGGAGGTACCTATACCTGCGAGTAAAGGTATACTCGTACAGCAGGTCTGTCAGAGGGACGAATGGGGGAGTGCTCGAAGGCCGCAGGTACCTTTTTTTTTCCAAAGCCAACCGGGCCTCGAAGAGCGCATTGCAACTCGTTGTAGCCACTGCTATCCACACAGGCACAGACACAGCACGGGGGAAACGGGGGGGATTTGGGGGCATGGGCTGGGATTGAGACCAGGACTGGGGGAGCGCAGCGACATCCACAGCGGGTACCTTGTACGAGCGCGTGCAACAACGGAGCAGAGCGGCCAGGGCAGCCAATGCCCAAGTATAGCGTACGAGTACTTGCGAGTCTACCTATTGCTGGACTGAGGCCAGGGAGCACGGGGGTAGCAGTACTTGGCAGGCTAGTACTCCTAGTATGGGTGTTGAGGCTAGAATACTGAGGTAGCCCGTGTTGGCAGCTGTGCTACCGTGCCATCTCCCAGATCAGAGGCCATCCACATGGGTTTCTGGCTGGCCGGGGGCTGGCAGGGCTGTCCGTAGTAGTCCATAGTCCATACCGTATCACCCATCATCCACAATACTGTGCCCAGACTTGAGGCTAATACCACCGAGAATATCTCGGCGAGGAGAGAGAGAGAGGAGGGGGGGAGGAGCCACAGATTACCGCAGTTGGTGGTACCAGAACAGGCTCAGACACAGACACAGACACAGTCACAGATAGACAGTCACGCTCGATTGGGCACCCAAGCACCGAGGAGGAGGAGGAGGAGGAGGAGGAGGAGGAGGAGGAGAGCAAAGAACGAAGGCAGAGCGAGTGCGGTGCTAGACTTGCAAGTACCGCATACATGCCGTCTGGACTTGGTGCTACTCCAGACTGGGAGCAGAAGTCAATGCAATGCAGGCAACCAGGTACTGCTCACTACTGCAGCTAGCAGCTAGCAACTCGTGCGCACGAGAGCCACCAGGACTGACGGACGATACGCTCACCCCCGTGGCCCACCTCCCTGTGGGCTGACGCGGATGTTTGAATCACGACCGGGAGCATACCGCTGTGTCCTTCTGCCATCTAGATCTGGCAGCACAGCGCCTGTGGTGAGCCAGCCAGGGGGGGAACTCTTGTCTTTCTGTCTCTCTGTCTCTCTCTACAGTGTATTCCAGGTTTGCTGCCACCATTGGATGACCGTCTGGTACCCGTACTTTGGCCCAAGCCCGAGGCATCACGTTATACTTAGTGGCAGTACAGTACGAGCAGGCCGCGGTGCTTCCGAGACCGAAACGCTGCTTGCGGCACGGCCGTGGAAAAACTGAAAAATTTCAAACAAAAAAGCAGGCCGGACGAGGAGACGGGGTCGTCTGGTGGCGGCGAATCTCGCCCTCGCAAGCCTCTTTCCAGCAGCACAAGAACAAGAGACATTGGATCGAAAGGCCAAGACGCTCGGCAGCCGAGCTTGTGGCATAACCGGGCTTGCATGGCTGCACGCTACGCACGATACTATTAGCACCCTATTGAACGGTGGCTTCAGCAAAGAGGGCTCCAGCTGAAAAAGCCTTGCAACTCTCTTTCGTCTCGCCACGGAGCCACTGTCCATCTTGTTGACTGCCACTGGCCGGGCATTTCGTCAATGTTGAGAATAAACGGGGATGCAGACGAGTTTTGGCGGTCAGTAGCTTGGGCGTGATCCTGATCCTGATCCTGGTGTCCAGCCCGGAGGCTCTAGCACACACGCAAGTTGCAAGGTGCCCTGCGAGCTGGAGTGCTTGTCCAAGGTACGAAAATAGCAGTTGAGCTCTCTCCTGCAGACACGGAAGAATTGATCAATCGGAACTTGCGAGTGCTGGTACTGGTACGGAGCTGTCGGAGATGCTATCAAATCCAGCCTGGATGGGACGGTGACACTCGCCGAACTGTACGTGTACTGTACGTGTACGAGTACTGCAGCTCGATGCAAGCATCTCCAGGCTACTGCCTCGTGTGCTCCGTTGCATTTGATTCTACATGCAGAACCTACGCAATACCAATCCAGTAATTCCAGTGGCCCCCCGGATACAACGACAAGCAATGCCTCAGCAGCCGCACGGACGCGCCCAGGCACGTACAGGTACTCGTCCATGGCACATGTGGACGGATTGGACGAACTTGTGTCCATGTGCGAGGGCGTTTCCTGCACGCGGCGTCGTACTGCTTGCTTGGTGATACCACACAAGCCCCAACCTTGCCAGACGTCTTGGGCTTAGTTGGGACTTTGCATTTCTCAATTTGTACGAGTACAGATGGGTGTAGCAGCAGGCTATACTCCGTGGTTTTATAGGTAGGTGCGGTGGTTTGCGAATTGGAGATTGACAGCATGTAGGTAGTAATTGATCCGTGCAAAGGACGAGGCATGGCCGGCCAGCTTGGCTTGCCTGGGGGCATGTCACCACCTTGCAAGTCGCTCTACCTGCTAGCCCAACTGCCAGCTGCAAAGCACGTGTTGAAAAGTGCTTTTTGCCTCCTGTTGGGTTAGGATTCGATACGGGAACATGGATCTTGGTAGCAAAAGGGCGGGGGTCTGGCTATAATCGCCGATGGGTGCGAGGCTAAGTTACATTGCGACACGTTTCGCCCTGGGCGGCACTTGGCTTGGGGATGCTGGTGCTGGCAAGCCAAACTCGGGGCCTCCACTCAACGAAACGTTAATGTTCTTTTCCCGGACGTGTCCCGACTGTTCCTGGACGGCGTGGGCGATGAGTAAGAGGAATCCAGGCCGAGTTGAGGCCGGTTTGGTAAATGGCCTCTCAAGGACAAGCAGAGGAGATTGAATTGGGCAACCCGTCAGCGGTTCGGTAGTGATACGGCAGTATTACTGTGCTCGCAGCTGTGCAGACGAGGTGGCAGAAGTCCAGAGTACGAGTACAACGGGCACAGTGGTGGAATTTAAATCAAAGAAATTGGGCACAATTGAAGAACATGCAGCAGCAAGCAGCCTCGTGCTTCTCCAGTGCAAATTCCTTGGCCCTCGTGGTCCCATGTGCGCAATCATCTCGGACAGTACGAGTACAGGCACCTGTTGTAGGTAAGGCGGTATACTCGTACCTACAGGTAACGTACCGTATCGATGCAAGTACCGAGGACAAGGCAAGTAAGTGCACTGGCTTCCCTCCAGGCTCGAATCTGGCCATCAAACTGCATCTTGCTTTTTACCCGTACAACTAACTACAAGGCATAACTACTAGCAACACACGACGGGAATTTCATCCTCTCTCTCTCCCCCACACCAAATAAGGCGCAATCTATCCATCAGCTAACCGATTTCTGTCTCCAGCTACATACAGTATATCCCCATCTTCTCCATTTTCACATGATACGCTCTCATTTCGCCTGTTGGTTCCGGGACAAGGCTGCTTTCGGCCAATTTCAGGCGAGATGCTCCATGCTCATGCTCCATGCTCATGCTCGTGCTCGTGCTCGCTCGCTGCCCTCGGGGAGACGGAGAAAACAAACATACACTAGCAACGTAACACAGCAGGCAATTCCTAGGGGAGATTGGCCATATAATTTCAGCATTCAATGCGCTGTGCACGAACACAACGATACGAATCTGGGAAGAAAGAAGATGCTGGCAAGCAAGGCGGGCGTGCCCAATGATTTTCGTACTGTGCACTCCCACCAGGTAGTAGCACCAAACAACCGATTTGTTTCATCACATGAAAGGCTAGTGGCTTCCCTGCCTTGCAGGGGCCGATAGACAGCTATTGATTCTCTCCTGGGCTAGCAGAGTCGAGCCGATATAGCAAAGGAGGCAGCGACACAGAAAGATGCAATCATGGCCCATGGCCGGGTGTCGCTTCACCATCCTGCTCGCTCGCATACCAGTTGAGGCGATTATAGACACGCCCCTTTGGCATCCAAACCGTCGGGCGGGCGCAAGCACGTTCTTACCCGCCAAGGGCTCCCCCTCAGCCTGCCAAAACGTGACCTGGATGCCGGTGGCAAAATCCTCCAGCTTGTGCGGTCAAGGATGAGCCCTGCCATGCGTGCCGGAATGGACACCGAGGTCTCGACAAGAACGGCTCCCAAGGGCTCCTTTTCGTCAAAAGGTGTGGACGAGAGTGAGAGCGAGCCCTTCAGTGATGACGGCATACTAGGAAACCGCCTTCTGAGGGATGGCACTCGACAGAAGACCCTGCAATGTCCGTTGGAGGGTCCTTTCTGCCATTTTAACGCTATCCTCCAGAACCCGGTCGTAACAATGCCGCCTCTCATCACCCCGAACCTGGGCGAGGAGGGGTGAGGGCTCGCCGCCTTTGACTGGCCAGAATGGCAGCTCATGGGGCAAGCCAAGCCAGGGCTCCTCGTGCCGCTGTGGATGGGATTGACTTGGTGTGCCCACAGGTCCACACCAAGGTGCATATGCGCGATCTTCCGCCGCCACGTGAGACTCGTTCGGCCGCCGCTCTCATTGGCGTGAGGGATATCGGCCATAGAAAGTCGGAACCGGTGATAGTGAGCGTTCGGGGGGGTGGATTTGCTGACCAACAAGCCACGCAAGATGGGGAACGTTTGGTGGTTCATCGAAACCAGCCTGAGCCCCAGCAGAGCATCGTCCAAAATCACTTCTACGAGTACGAGTACTTGTACAACTCTACAAGGCAAAAGTCGCTTCATGCTGACAATTAGGCTTCCACGTCCTCCACACGCGCCATCAGCCCAAGTTGGTACCTGTGCATGAGATTGTAAGCCCAGGCAAGCGGAAGTCACCCGGAGCACACAGCCAAGGGACGACCCGAGCTTCGATGCCAGCGGAACCAAGATGAGAACAACTCGAGACCGGCTGGAATGTTCTTGCAACGCCTTTTGCTGCGCCGCCTCGGGATGGGCGCTAGAACCACAGATAGCATGCTTCCCTCGTATACCAGCAATCAAACGAAAGGGAATGCACGCGGCGGGCCTTGACTAACAAAACGGCGCGCCTCCGGCCATACGTCGACGACAAAGCGACGCTGATGGGGTGGCAGAAGCTTAATGGAACGATGGAGCGTGTGCCACACCATGCCAACAAGTGCGAAAAAAACCTCGTGGCTCGGCAGTCTAGCATGCCCTGCACGACTTACTCAGGCACGCCGCGCTATTCATCTTTGGGTTCAGCCAGGACGGGGTGTGGTTGGGTGGTTTTTAACCGTCCGTTCCAAGCACAGCCCTAACAGAACCGGCTGAGCCTGGATAGGAAGGAAAAAGAGAAAGAAAAATACGAAGCAAGCCAAGCAGTAACTGAAGTCGGAATGACCTGCTACGGAGCCCAAAGGGGGGGGAAAGCCCTTTGGCTCACCCTTTACTCGATTCATCAAGCAAGTCACTTGGTTTGTCATGCTCGTCCCCTCATACGGAGTACTACCTCGCTCATTCTTCTTCCTTTCTCTCGGTTTGCGTGAATGAGGCTGTTCTTTTTTTTTTTTTTTTTTTTTTTTTTTTTTTTTTTTTTTTTTTTTTTTTTTTTTTTTTTTTTTTCAAAACTCTTACTAGATCCACCGGCCAAACTCAGTCCCTCATGAGAGCTTACCGGCAGTCAAATAGAGAAAGGTTATCTCGTTTCATCAAACGCCTAGGCCCCAGCTACATATACAGTACCGAGTACACCTTTATCATTATCAGCCTTGGATCCCAACAAGTGCACTCGTATTAGCCGGTGGCTTATATGGCTGTGTCCATTGGTACTTGTTTAACCAGCGCAACGCAACAGAGAAACTCATGAGTGTCCGGGGTAATACAAGTACAGTACGACCCTTCTTTGTTTCTTGACTATCATTATGGCGTACGTTTCAACATTGAACCGCCAGGGGCTTGTCCAACACTTGATGCCCATAGCATCTCACTGCCGCCATAGGCGTGGCGCGCTACGCGGCTACCAGGGCAAGTAGCAAAATGAATGGAAGGCAACGGCTCATTAGCCCAGGTGGGAATGCCCAAGGCCAGGAGGACGGGAGCAATCACGACCGCCCAATGCCTTGTAAAGTTCAAGGACGCCTATAGCGGACATGGCAGGGTGATGCCTACCAATTCAATTCGAGTGCGGAAGCCATTGGGAATCGCCCACGTGGTGATCATCCACAGCCCGCCGAGACAAAGAATGCGATCAGAAATGATATGCGCAGGCCCCGGCTAGTTGATGATGGACGGCACGACTACCCAGATGGTGACGACGAGAATCAGCGATTTGCTATGGAGAGGCTAACAAGCGCCTGTGTCAATGATAAGCGAGTTCGACCAGGGCTGTCGCATACATACATATTGCATGTACAAGCGCTTGAGCTCCATACCGTCCAGCACTAATCATTCCATCGTCGGCACTTGACGGCTACAGTACTCGTCAAGAAGGCGCAGGATATTACACTTCATAGTACATACGTCTCCTCCATGGATTAGCATACCTAGCTGCTTGTCATGTCGAAAAGAAAAATCGGTGAGCAGCTTGCTTGGAATAGGAAACTCCGGGGGATACCCCTCTCGTCCTTTGATTTCTCAATCTCGCGCACGTCTGGACCACGAAGCGAGCTGAAGCCAGCCGAAGCATATACGTTCAGCTCCACGTTGATACCCATGCGCGACCTTGACGGCATTTTCAACTCTGCAGGACGTCAAGCATTCATCATGAGGAAACGAAGCATGCAAAGGACGCCAGAAAGAAGACTTGCTTCAGACGCTAGGTTTCCACAAGAAATGACGAACACTAAGGCTTACGCAAATTGACTTGAATCCTTTGTACTCGTATTAGTCCAGTTCCTCGCTGCGGTCCAACGACGCAAATATCCCGAAAGTCTCGCTATCGTATACCGCCTATTGCGGGGCCAGCCGACGGAGCATATACGAGTAATACCGCCATCGAGGAGCGCGTCGTTTGTTATCTCTGGCAAAACACTCGCGCTGCTGCTACCAACACCTGCATGCGGAGTACGAGTAGACAGACTATCGTACAAGTACGGAGTACTCGTGACAATCGCCCCGCGTATGATACATACAAATAAACGAAAAGTATTGGCCACCTTGCCAGCGAATGGACCTATATTGCAGGACATGTTATCCAAATTGGGAAACTAACAAGATCGGTGGCCGGCACGCGGAAGCACAGCATTCTAGACCGCAAAAGCAACTCGGCAAATTTGATCTGTCCAACGGCCTACTCGTACATACAGTAGCGTCTGCCAGCAAAGGGGTGGTCTGGCCTGGCAATCCATCCATGCGTTGCTACAGTACGAGTACATGTACAATTCAAACGCCCTCAACTGAACTGGATGACTGGTGTCCTCCATCAGTGGCTGCCTACCCTCGGCCATGTCCCGAGCATGGAAGCCCACCTGGTTAAAGTGGCTCCAGCAGATCAAGCCCGTTGCCATGTTGTTCGTCCCATCTTTGCCTGTGCTGTGCTCATGGCAAACCCGCTTTATTACTTTTTTCTTTCTTTTTTTTATTTTTTAATTTCCAGACAAAGAGTGTTGCAACTCGACCAACTACTATTACGGAGTATCCCCTACGAGCACCTGTTGGGTTCGAGATACAAGAGACTGTCAAGTGTATCTAGAGTACGTATACAGTAGTACCTGCTTCTCTGTTAAAGTTTTCTCTCTCGCATCGAGGCCAACAATCAAAAGCCTCGTCACAGATCGGAACCAGGTCAATGCGCCGGCAGCATCGGCTCTACTTGGGCCCATTCAGTTAGATGTACGAGTACTCGTAAGTAAGAGACGTGGTCTGTAACAATCGTGCCCTGGCCAAAGGCAAGCCGAATGGGGCCGTCACAGCGGCCTGCAGCTTATTGCCCTCTGCTACCCGAACATACTCGAAGGGAACCACACCTTGATGCCAGTGCTCGCAACAAACCACGGAGCCGCACCTATACGGTTCCTCGAATGTAACGCCGGCCCTCCAATCACATGTGGTAGTCATATATCGGGATCCCAACAGCATTGAACAAGCACACAGATGCTCCTAGTGTAACAGGCGGCCATGTATGTGTACTCGTATGTAAGGGCACAATACAAAGGGCTTGGGACAGGATCCCCGGTACCTGATCCGCAAATGCATTATCAGATCAAGCCGTGATGTCAGGCACCGCAGTGCATCATCCCGGCTCCCTTGTGGTGGCTTTTTCCATTGGTCACCGTGACTCTGCGCGGCACGCCACCTACATACAAGCCAACTCGCGACATCCGAAGAGAGGTCCATGCTCTGTTTGTCTCAAACAAGTGCGGGATCGGATATCGAAAGCCACCGCTGAACCTGTATACACTTGGTTGCCCAGACTGCCGTTCTCGGACAGTAGAAAGCCTTGGTGTGCGTGACAAACCCCATCTCAAAGATGCGGTGCAGCAAGGGCGGTTTACTTGCAGGCTTGTGGGATAACCTACCAAGGTACTCGTGAGCAGTTCTGGCTGATATAGTAGCTGGCAATATGCTTCGGAGGCGGGCCGATAAAGGTGACTTACACTAGCATCCGAAGAGGACCAAACAAACCAACTACTCGCCTTTCCACTTCACACAAGTGCTCTCATACTTCTGCCGGCGTTGCACGCTTTGTCTAAGCTCGCATATGGCAGGGCCCTTGATGGGAACAAGCTTAATGTACCGAGTCTGGATCTACACCTTAGCTCAGTTGAGGTGGATATCGTGTCCAGGATTACTGCCAGATGAGATTGACCGGCTCCGGCAACGATAGGAACTAGTCTGGAGGGCTGCATGCCCCAACCTAGATACGCCAACAACCCGGGATATTGTTGGTTGGGGGGGGAGCAATATTTGCTCCTCCGGAGGGCTGAAGCGGCACGCCAGAGTTCATTTCCCCCCTCTCTCTCAGCTGCCTTGGACCGAGACAAGGGTCACGATTTCAGCCGCTCACCTCAACGCGGGCCCAATGATCATCGACCTGGTGTGTGTGTGTCCTTCCCGTCCGGCCATCTCGATAGGCCCAGGATCACGGCACAGAGGGCGGCCCGTCAGACACGAGGTCGAGATTGGGAACCGTGTGATATCACAGGAAAGCTTGCCCGGGCCGAGACACACAAGATATAACATAACATTAGCTGGGTATGCTGTGCTTCACAAAACCTCCCACGCGCTCTTCCTTTTTGCTTTTCTCGAGGTGGCGCCGCCTCACCGCGCGCCTGTGAAACACGGACCGACCTTTGGCCAACTAAACTATTTGATTTGGGTGACCCGTTGTGCAGAGCTGTGTGAGCTGTGAGGCTCTCCGATAACCCCGTTCTCATCCCGTGTCAAGAGACGGCAGCCCGTGCACGGCAAAATGGTATTTGTCATTTACGAGATGTTTGATGAGCATACTCTCCCGCTGCCACATGTTTCCTTCGTCCCGAGAGGGGGGGAATGTCACCCCGTTTCTTTCGCGTCACGCCTCCCCCGTGGCCAAGTTCACGGCGGTCTGATGCCAGCGGCGAACGATCTGAGACTGTGTGCCGAGTCAAAAAAAAATGGTGACGAACCCAGTTCCAAGTTCGCCAGGGTCTCAGGAGCAAAAGAGAGAGAAAAGGCTGCCTGGGACAGATACACGCCCCCCCCCCCCCATTCGGCAAACTGTGGGCTAGTGGAACAAATTTCATGTTGGTCGTTGGGCCCTTCTCTTGAGTTCTCTTGTTGTTACTCGGCTGTCGGCCCTCTCTGGTGGCTAAACC